AAGTGGTGTATGTCTTTACAGACCAGCACTGGCTGTGTCCCAACCCAGTGGAATTATTGTTAAATGAGACATGAAAGAAGGACATAGCATAATAATTTTTGAAGATCCTATCTCCACTTGGCACAATAATTACTAAAAGAAAGGGGTAATAAGCAAGTCATTTAATAATAAAAAGGTCCATGTGCATTGAGGACTTTGCCCAATTGTGCTCATCTGAAAGTCAACCAATAAAAGGGCAAGTGTCTATTGTCCTCAGAAAAAGTCAAGCGATTACTGTGTAACACAGCCTATATGTACTGTAGACACCATAGGGCCGACAGCCATCATGATCTTAGCCTTAAAGACCTTTGTAAACCCTAGCTCGGGTGCAAACCTCAGACATTACAATGCTTAGGAAAGTTCTCCTTTCATATAAATGTAAATTTATATAAATCTAAATAATATTACTCAATCCACGGCTGTTTGTCCGACACTGCTGTGTGCAATTGGCTGCCGCGTTTCACCCACGAATTACACAAGTCAATTCAATTTACAGCATATTCTGTGAAGCGCTTTGAGATGGCTCAACGATGTGATAAAGTGCTATATCAAATGCAACGATTATTATTAGAAATTTGTATTGTCTCACAATGTAAAATTGTGCAGAATTTTGGAAATTTCTTAAATTGGAAGGAATATTGCCCAGGTATGGTTTCAGTGACTTCAGGTTTATTCTGAAATCCAAAATATCCAAGATCCACAAAAGCTCCAGAATTGAGAGTTGCCTCAAATACAACTGCTCACTTGACTTTTTTTTAAAAAATTAGCCTTCTGTGCATATATAAAATGTAAATATCTTCCTTTTTAGAGCAGGATTTTTTTTCCCCTCATTGCTTTTTCATTATATACCTATGAGAAGGAAAAAAATCCAACCACAATCTCACTCTCTGCTGTACAGCTGTGTAAATAACATCTGTCCAGGCAAAAGAATTCTGTTCATATCTGGGCTAAGCAATCATTCACAGCCACTAATGTGGATTCTTTCAAGACATCCGTGTACAAGGTAATTTTCTCTTCATTGTAGAACAATTAATACTGCGGAACAGGATCAGAAATGATCTACTTATGCAGAATTTTACAATTTTTTATTTTGAATTAAGGGTTAATGAAAATCTTCTCTTCTCCCACACCCTAGTAATTTTCATGTACGCTTAGAAGGGATTCCTTCAATGTTCAGTTACAATATATATATTGGAGTCCTGTAGCTCAGTCGTTAGAGCATTCACCTTGTAAGCGAGACACCTGGGTTCAATTCCAGGCAGGGTGAAACCTTGGGCAAGTTTCCTTACTCCACACGCCTAATAATAATCCCTCCAAAACAAAACAATAATAAATTGGTGATTTTCAATCCACAACTGTTTGTGGGACATTAGTGTGCGCAATTGTCTGCCGCGTTTCGCCCACAAATATAGGGTCAATTCACTTTACAGTCTATTCTGTGAAGCGCTTTAAGATGTTGAGAAGATGTGAAAAGCGCTATCTCAAATGCATGGATTATTATTGTTATATATGCATTCCGTATAATTCCTTTAGCTTTAGAAAATCATTTTAATGAACTACAGTAATTCATTTGAAGAGCATGTTCCTAATTACTGTTTAGGTACTTGAATTCTGAAATGTAAAGCATCTGATTTTTAACCTTGTATTTGTCTCATGCAATTCTTTGGTTTGCTGAACTTCTGCTTTCCCTACTTCGATTTCATGGGGCCCTTTTTCCCAACCTTTGAACTAATTACATCATTTAGTGGAATGGTTCTTCTGAAAAGGAGAAAACATGAATTTGTCGATTATTAAAATTTAGGGCGCAGAGTTGAATTTTTGAAGTTAAACACTGGATTTTAATAAAGCACCAATTAGCTTTAAACTATTAAAGATATATATATATATGAGGCTTAGGCTATGGATTTTTCTGCATTTGGCAGTGACCAGTCATTTCTTTAAAACCTCCTTCAGTGTTTTTTCCCAGTCACTTTGCCAAATACTGTAGTGAAATAAAATCTGTGTGGGAACTCATTGAACTGGAATTAAACTGAGTGACACAGACTATTATTTGGTGACAGAAATCAAACAAGTCAAAAAGCAAGCTTGACTCTGTTATTGGAAGCATTAGTATAATGGTGGATTATAATAACTATCTGTGATATAACCAAAATGATTCCTTCTTTGGTGACTTGCTTTAAGCTGAAGCAATTTTTTTTGTATAATCCATTCAGATTTTGAAATAACACAGCTGCTTAGATCTGACCATAGAATTACTTCCATTTGGATGCTTCACTGCTATCTATTTGAGTCTTGTCTTGCTCACTGGCCAATTTTAGGTGAAAGCAGTTGAATTGGCAAATACAATCATCTATTCTTAACCTTGTTATCATGCTTTGTGTTAGATTTGGACACAGTTGAGTAGAAATATCAAGGAGGTGTACTAACTCTACAATGGACCTTTGCTCTTAACTTGAGTCCAGTACACTTCTTGATTTACCCTTGGGTCATCAGCTGCAGAGTAAATGCCTTTTCTCTCCTCAAACCTTCAGTCAGGAAATTGTAATGCATCAAGTAAGTCTTTTGTGCTATACAACTAAGTGTTGGTTGGGAGACATTGTGAAGTGGATTATTACACTGTTGGGGAGAGCTAAAAGTGTGTTTCTCATGGGTTATCCTCACTTCACAAATTTCTCACTCTAGTTTCATGGCACCACACCAATGTATGGGATCTGATTCTATTGATTCTTTGGAAATTGTAACAAATTGCTTCACGATCTCATGGTGATTATCTGGAGAAACATTTTTGACAGTCAAGTTACCATACACAATTATCTGACTGTGTTGATCTGTGAGCCCAAATAATATGCACATAATACATCTTCAAAGGTGATTGATGCTGATAGTGATAGAGGTAAACAAAACATGGAAGCATTCATTGTTTTCTGTTCTCAAGTTACACTTGTGGCCTTCTGGTCATAGGGTTGAGAACTTAACTTGATTCAATAATATTGGTTTACATGACCGGTATGATACTTTCACACGACTGTATTTGGAGACAGCAATTATTGAACAAGACTTTGTTAGTAGCTGTGGATATATATTGTGGAATGTGATCTGAAACATAATTGAAGTGCCAATGTGCAGGTTTCATGTATGCCTTTTAATATAAAAATCAGTGGTTTGGCAAAATTCCTTTTGTTGCTTATGGTAATGCCAGTTTTGTGGCTCGATTTGTTTTAAAATTAGGTAAATAAAAAGGTAAAGTTTGCAGGAAAATGGGTGAAAGCCTAATCTCATTGCTCTTCTCCACTGGTTTAAATGGTATATAGACTTAAGCAAGTCCATTACTTTAGTAACGCTATCAATTGTATGCATTGGAAGCATCTACAGAACATCTTCAAATCTAAAAAGTATTGGGTGACGTGTTAAGGTGAAAATATTATTTACACAATTGGGATGAAATTTAAGAGCAGTATAATATAATGCAGTACACATTGTAACCTTTAAGTTGTCGGATGACATGTGTCTGCTGTTGGCCTTTTGCCATTGTACACTACTGTACCTAATTGACTGGAATATCCATCTTAAATTTCTCAGCTCTGTTTCCTTGTTCTAAACTGCAGACTAAAATGGCAGTTCTGGTACACTGGTCTGCAGTTTTTTTTCTAAGAAGCATTGATCATTAATGCTGAAGTAAAAATGGAATTAATATCAGTCCTACAACGCTGCAACATTAAAATAACTTGGCCGAAGTGTTGTAAAAACCAAACCCCATTCTGGCCCTTTTTATATTTTATTACCACAGGGCACAATGGTTTATTTCTTGTATTTTCACATTGAAAATTTGCTCTAAAATACAGAATTCTAGTAGGTTGTTGAAAATTGGATGTTTTATTTGGAACCCGACAGGAAACGCATTGTGCAATTTTACCTCATGTAGAGTACGTATCCAGTATCCATCCAGATGCAACTGTTTTGAATTAACAGCTCAGAAGAAAGAATGTGAGTGCTTAATTCCCGAGCAAGATAGGTCTTGAACCAAGCCAATTCTCATTTGCTTCAGGAGTTGGAAGGTGCTAGTGCTGAAAACCTAAAGTGATTGCAGTACATGTCTTCATAAATGTGCTTAAGATTATCTTAACACAAAATATAACAATGCTGTACTAAAACACTAGCATCAAATACCAGGCACTCAGACCCATACATTTGTGGTCGTGTTACGACACAGTCATCAGATTTCCTCACCAGTTTATTCAGTGCCAAGCAAGGGTCAGTTGATCTGTTATATTTCAGATGCTGGAATGAAATACGCGATGCTGTCTTGTGTGCAGAGTTAAGGGATCAAGATAATTTTTCACTATTAAATAAGAACCATAGAACTTCTAATCTTAGACACAATAGGAAGCCATTCAACTATTTGTTTTTTTTGCCCACAAATATAGTCAATTCACTTTACAGTCTATTCCGTGAAGCGCTTTGAGACGTCTAGAAGATGTGAAAAGCGCTATATCAAATGCAAGGATTATTATTGTTATTATTAATGGTTTTTGCTGCTCCATTGGTCATCGGATATCTGACACATGACCATGCTTAATAGTACCCAAATCAAACTCTTAAGCACGGTGATTGGTTTACACGTGATGGAACATGCAGAACTCCTCCATTGAAGCCATCTATTCTCAACCCAATTTCTTGCCTCTATTTCCCTCCTCTCTTTATATTTATCTAATTCCTTTTTAAATACTCCCAATTGAATCTGATCCAACTGCCACCACATCAAAGGATGATTTTCTGAGGGCAGTATTATATTCCAGACTTCTACTTTCACACTGTTCCTGGAGATTCTTTTGAAACGATTTGTGGGCAATTTATTTTAGTGGTGTGCAACATGTTTAGTTTAAGTGAAACTGCTTTCTAAAGAACTCTATGTGGTAAGCATCATTTGCTTCTTAATGATTCCATTTTTTTCTTTTCTTTAGATGATAGCATCTCTGCTGCAAGCACATCTGATGTCCAGGACCGCCTTTCATCCCTTGAGTTGAGGGTCCAGCAGCAGGAGGATGAGATCACAGTGCTGAAAGCAGCTCTGGCCGATGTGCTCAGACGCTTGACTCTCTCTGAAGATCAGACGGCTTCTATGAGAAAATCATCTCCTGGTAAAGGTAAGGTTGGCAAAAATAGTTCTGGAGATGAGATCTTGCCGCAGCACTTAAGAAACCATCACATAGATAAAGATAGTGCTATGAACTACAGGGGAATCCCATTATATTGCCCATCAGTGCAACTTATAGGTTAGGGTGGGTCTGCTGTGGACCCGCACTGGCTGTACACTTAATGTGTACTTATGTGCAGCACGTGCCCTCCAACACCACACATGTACGGCACGCAGGAAGTGATGTTGGTGACACTTCTTGCATACAGTGCACCTGTGTGATAAGCAGAAAGTGATGTTAGCCCAGAATTCATCCATTTTTCTGCATCTCACTTAGAACATGATCAGTGACTCTAAATCAACCACATTTTAATGAGTTTTCCCTGGATCTTACCAAGTATGTAATGTTTCTTTAAAAAAATTTATACCACTAATACAAAAAACTGCTTTTTAATGCCGCGACTTTCATTGAGACTGCTCTATAGATAGATGCCAGAAGCTTATGTAGATGTACTTCCAATTGGTATGATATTTTTGGAGAGCTCGGCCTCCCAAATCATTTACACTCATGCATTCATCTTTACGGATTTCAGTTACTCGTTTCGACACGTTACCTGACTGAAGAGTAGTCAAAATGTTAACCTTAACACCTCGACAAGGCAGCTGAATGCATCAGTGTTCGAACTCCTGATGGAACATATTGAATGGCACTTAACTACATTAAATTGGCTGCTTGCTCCATGTTCAATGTGGGCCAAAGATTTTGCATTGTTTCCATATTTTGGCATGCTTGAACCTCGGAATATAGTGATTGGCTTTGCTTTTGCTCTAAAAAATTTTTAGGGCATGACATTCCTGCAGCAGAGTGAGAAATATTTACTCCAGGAGTGTGTCCATTCGACTGATCATTTGATCACTGTCAGAATTGCCATTTTTGTTCAGCAATCGTGATATTATTTTGTTGCCAGAAGATTGGTATTTCACACATATAGAATAACTGCTGAGAGAATTCAGTGTCTGGTTACAGTTCATTCCAGAATCATGAATGTAGATAAACTGTCTCATCGATGAGAAAGTGTTCCAGACGTTCTTTTATTTGGGCAAAAGACCATTTATAACTTGCAATACTTTCGGGGTTTTCCCACTCCACTAAAGTATGCTGCTGTCACCAGTGAGAGATCCCCCGTTTATATTGGTGAGGACTTGATTTTGTGATGGTGTTTAAAAAGGAATAAAACTAAAATCTCAATTAGAATCAGAAGCTGATATTGACATTCTGAAGGTCATTAAGGTCAGCTGGAATTTGCTTTAACACTAGTCTAACCAATTTGTTTCTTTGTGGATTTCATTTACAAGTGGGCAATACATGCAACAACGTTCCTGGCATGAAAGTGCTTTCAGTAATATTCCATAAACTCCCAACAAGGTGCAGTAGTAATAGCTGATTTGGGGAAAAAAAAGTTATGAAACAAAACTTAAAATATTTGCATCTGTGTTATTATTTTCCAAATTGAATCTTAATACTAAAAAACAGATTCTCAGTTAAAAGCAATCCCTGAGCCCATTTGAGGAAAGACAAATCAGTGGTAAAAGACTGAAAGCCTGCCAGTAGCCATGGTTTAACCTTCCTGTTCATGATACAGGATGTGTTTCCGAATGCCAAAATTTGTATTCCTGCTCTGAATTTGAGCACAAACAAAGTATAAATCATGATGTTATTTAAAATTTTCAGTACATTTCCTTTACAACATAGTTTGAGAACAGAGGACTTGTCACAGCAAAGGTGAAAAAATTTATTTTTCATACCATAGTGTAATTCAACATTTTATGGCATGAATAAGATATGTGTATAGTATCTTTTTTCATTATTGCACCACTAAAACTAGACAGTGTTTTGTCAGTTTCCGGTACATGCCACATAACACATTTTAAATGGTCTATGGCCATGCTCCTTGGTCTTAATAAATTAAATCTGTTTTCAGTGCTTAAGGTGCTCATGTCTTATCAAGTTTCAAAAAAAATTGGCTTGCCTCTAACAGAAACTAAATTCCTCCCAAATCTCAGCAGTTTCTACAGTTGGCTTATTGTTGCATTGCTTTGTTTCTCCTATACCCAAGCTGGCATCATGTAGTGAGCAAATAGTATCTACTGCCATAAAACAGCTGGTGTAGCAGCGACTCTCAAGATTGACTGTCGGATCGAATGGTAAAACAAAGCCAGAAAGAGATTCCCATATGTCTATCTGCAAAACAGCCTTCAGGCCCTTTACCAAAGTCTTAATTGTAAAATAGCAAATTACCCCCAGCAATGAAGACCTCTTGAGGCTCATTATGAATATGATTTTTTTNAAAGTGCTAATGTTTCTGAATGAAGTAGCCTGAAAAAATGTTCACTTTTTAGGGGTCTTCTTTGTTTTTCAGTAGCTTTCTCTTTTTCTCCTGATATGAAGGGTGCTATATAAATGCAATTTTATGATTTTATTTTTGTCTCTTTTCCCCCACCACCACCTCCACCCAGCACTGAAATTAAGTGTTCCTGTCTGGCAGTCTAAGAAAATGGCGAATAGTGTAAAATGTCCACAAAATGGTCTCTGTGAATAAGGCTCCTATATTGTTGTTCTTTACTCTTTCAAATTACATAGTATTGTGGACGGCTTTTAGCGTAAACTGCTGAAACACACAATGTTTCTTAAAAGGCTTTCTTTTGGAATTAAATCTTTTAATAGATAGTCGCTACAGTTTAAAACAATGGACAGCAATGCAGATAAAGTTATAAAGAGTAAAATAATAACGTGCTTATTGTTTTGAATGCGATTGGAATTTATTCTGCAGTACTTGCATTTTTTTAGACTGCTAACTATGTGAAATATTTAAATTAAATTTTAAATTTGCTGTTAGCCTACTTGAAAATGTATACTATATTCAGACATCCATTCAAACTTTTTGCTTAGCACCAATTTTATTGTATTTTTATGCATATACTGGTACATCATGAGATTTAAAACCTCTTGTACACTTCTGAAAATACTGACGAGTAGTTACTATGCTGTAAAATGGCATCTTTCAGTTGCTTTCCTGCTAAATGGGGTTCTAGGAATAGTTGCAGGGCATTGGCAAGTCATCAAATAGCCATTGTCAGCACAATGCCTCAGTGTACCTGCATGTGATAAACACTGCAAACAAGTGCTTACCTGTGTGGTGTCTTCAAACCTATTTTGAAGCAGTTAAATAATTGCTAAACATTGTGGGGACTTGACAGGCTCATTACATTTATAATAAATTTTCCATATAATTTATTTAGCATTCAGCTTGGCATTATTCCTGTAATAATGTGGACTGTAAAGTGATACCTGCACCATGTGGTTACAACAGCAGTGTGTTGTTGCAGCATTTTAATTCTGACACCCGATACGGCACAGTGCAGTTCATGAGCAGTGAGTGAATACTTTTGCCAGATTATATCATTTACGTAAGAATGTTGGCCTCAACACTGGACTCCCAAGGTTTATAGTAAAAATATTGTGTCTTGAGACCATTTTTCACCCAGACTTGTTGACATTTCAAATGCAAGTATTATTATTTCTAACACAGATGTCCAATACAATTCAATACAATTCATTGTATTTCACAGTTGTCTCAAAAAATTGCAAATTGTATTAAAACCTAACAATTACTAAAGGAAGGGGGAAGCTGTTTTATACAAAGGGTTTGCACTGGGGCTTTTTAGCTCATCAGAAGAGAATTTCCACCATATATTTGGGGAGATGATGAAGAAGCTGATAACCATGAGAAATTCCAAAAAGGTTGCTATTATTAATGAAATTCTGCATTTTGTAAAGGGCACTATAGTGCTATTTTGTAACTTTTAACCAGTATCTTGTCTAATCTTCTCTCTATCTCTTTTGTCAAATCGTGGATATGTTCTCTGCCTCAGTGTCATTGCCAGTAATTACCAAACCCCAAAGGTTAGCAGCCAAATTGCCAGAATCCTCCATTCCAACATCTACATTTTTCACAAACCTGGCCCCCTCCACACCAAACATTTTCCGCCTGCCCTAGCCTAGGCAGCAAAGAAATTGTGGAGTATTTTTCATGTCACTGGAAACCTTCCCACATATCGTCCAAACACTATCTTTTATTGCATTGAGTTAATCAATGCATTATCCATAATTTTTTGTTGGTAATCTGTTTTATATATCCATTACCGTGCTGGTTGTGTGTGTGTATTCTGGGTGAAGCATTGTAATTAGAATCTATGTGTCCCGTTTCTGCTCTCACGGTCTAATTAAAGCAATATTATTTACATCTAATTCATCCATGCCTCTCATTTTAAATGATTAATGTGTGGGGATAATTATAGATCTGCTTGCAATTTGGGGAAAATTGTCATTGCATTGAGAACTAGAGGGACAGTATTCTATATTCAATTGCACAAGTGGAGCTGCAGCTGAAAGCTCATCCTTTTCATTGCCCTCCTTTCTTCCACCTTGCCATGGAAACAAGTGATGGTGTTGGCCCACAGTTACGAGAGATCATTCATTAAATTATCTGAGCTAAGCAGAAAGGACTAAAACTAGTAGGAAACCTGACTGATTTAAAGATTTTTAATAACAACAACTTGCATTTATCAGCCTTTATTTATGCAAGTAAGCTTCTCAAAGTGTTAATCCAGGTTCTCAATCAGATGTCTGCTGATATTCAACTTGGATAAGATAACAGCCAATAAAATGGGTGTCTGTTTCAGTTGCCTTCTGCCATATTTTGATCTTCCTCATATTATCCTAGAGATTTCAAGAAGTATTCTAAACTTGTTGGTTTAAACTAATCAGATTTACATAATGATGAAATGTTTGAAATACCTTTGATGGGTTTCAGTATATTTGTAATCCTCTGCTGAGCGGTTGTGAAGTGATAATTATTTAGCCTAGCAATGAAGAGTCCAATGTTTTTAAATTTTATTGCCACTCAGCCATTTTCAGAGTCTCAGCACATTTTAAAAACTATTTGTCCAATTTATTGGGCCATTTTCATCCGGGAAATTTGCTGCTCTATTTTACCACCAGCCTTTTCTACATAAAATCCATTTGATTCCCACCCCTGTTTTCCTCAGGGCACAGCTTTAAAATGACTGTTTTGTGTCTCTAAAGTGTATCCATATGAGGCGGATAAAGCAAATCTTCCAGATGCCTGCAGGTAATGCAGTAACAAACTGAGCCCACAGAGCTTAGAAACAAAATGAGTGGGGTGTTTCTTAGATTTATACACAAACTACTCATTAAGACAAACAAGTTATTGTGCTTAAGTACATTATTTTGTTTTCAAAAGCATGTCCATCATCAAAATTACAACTAAGGCTGAAAGTTCAAATGTTCCTGCATCAACTTCATCCATTTGAACCTGTCTAACAGGAGGTCTAAATTCTCTCAGGGTCTTATCCTGAAACTATTTGACTTCAAAATTTAAGTCAAATCTTGCAGAATTTTGGAAAAATCTTAAATTCTTTTTGAGAGCTGCAGAAAAGTTTTTTTTCAATGCGCTATGCATTTCACTTGTAATACTATACGATTACAACAAATTTACATTTAAATAATGCCTTTTTTGCATTCCAAGATCCTGGAAATAATAAATCCTGTGTTTGCTATAGTCGCCTTACCATCTCAAAACGCTTCACAGATTGTTTTGTAGGTAAACGAGGCAGCCAATTTGCATATAGGAATTCTTCACAAGCAATCATGAGCTGAATGACCAATTTGATCTTGTGAATTGTTGGCCAGGACACAGGGAGAAACTCACTTTTCTTCTCGTGTGGACAGTGGGATCTTTAACAGCCACCTGAACAGACAGATGGGGTCTTGGTTTAACCTGAAGGATGGCACCTCCAATATTGCAGCACATCCTCATCCAACAACAACAACAACTTGGATTTATATAAAGCCCTCCACGCCGGACGGTGTCTCAGAGCGCTTGTGTTGGAGTATCAGACCAGATAATGATCTGAGAGTTCTGGCATAGAGGAATAATGAAGTTTAATATTTATAATAATAATAATCCTTGCATTTGATATAGCGCTTTTCACGTCTTCTAGACATCTCAAAGCGCTTCACAGAATATGCTGTAAAGTGGATTGATTGTATATTTGTGGGCAGAACGCGACAGCCAATTGCGCACAGCAGTGTCCCACAAACAGCCATGGATTGAAAATGACCAAATTATTATTGTTTTGTTTTTTGGGGGGATTATAATTATTAGGCATGTGGAGTAAGGAAACTTGCCCAAGGTTTCACACAAACGTCTGCATTAAAGAAAAATCTGCCTACCCATCTCTTTAAAACTGTTACGTTGCATGAACTCCCAACATCAGCTTCATCAGTTCTTTAATTCTGAACATCGGTTTCATCCATTTGAACCTGAATTTTCTCATGGTCCTATGCATGGTCCTATTGCACATGTGCAATTTAATATCATGATGAATATTGGAAATGTTTTATTCTTTTTGTAACAGCAGAAAAGTGGTGACTGAAATTAAGAATTCAACAAAATTGTGCGAATTTTAAATTGAAGGCGATGGTCTTACGGCTATGCCCTTGAGTGATTTCAGACCTCTGATTTCAGGCCTTATCGTTCCATTTCAAAATAATGATTCCCATTCAGACAACTCCGCTTATCACATTATGTTTACTTAACCTACTTTTTGACATCTTATGTATTTATTGTTCCATTTCAAAATAATGATTCCCATTCAGACAACACAGTAAAAGTTCTATCGACCTCCTTGCTATTATCTGAACATTGATGGAACTCATTATTGAGGACAAAGATTGCTAATGTTTCTGCATCTTTGATCTTTGACTGCTTGGCTTCTGTGCTGGTCACCATATGTTGAGGCTCATTTTACTTTTTTCTTGGTATCTAAGAAGGCAAAAGATAGAGCTAATTGCTAATCTTCCTGAAACTTCTCAGAAGGTTTTACAGTACTAATTTTTTGAGTATTACTTCTTGCTTTCATACATGTAAACCGTTTTCAATTGTTTTGAGTCATTTAACCCAACAGGTTATAATCTTTCGAAACTTTGGCAGATGGTGGTTCATTTTCCTACGTCAAATCTTTATTTTGACATTCTAAAGAGCAGTTTCTAAATTATGTTTTGCCTTCCAATGGACAATCCACTAAAGTTGCTGGAAATGTTAAAATGAAAATCATAGTCCTGGAGCTGAAATGCTTCTGATTTAACTGGGTGTACATTTTTATTTAATAGAAGCTGACCTGTACAGTTCGTTTTTGTATTTGCACTTGTGTTTAGCAAGATTAAAAACATTCATACTAAAGACTGCCCTCCAACCTCTAAACCATCAAGGTCCTTGCAGACAAGTACACATGGGTTATTAGACCTTGTTGTAGCAATGGGAGAATTAACCTCTTCTCTTTCCCTTCCCTCAACCCCCATGCACCACTGATCCTTTCCCTGGCCTGACTCCCAGTCTTGTGTCTTAAAGGCCTCATGAAGAGTGATTATGAAATGAATACCAATTGTTGAATTCAAGGTGGTTTTATACTGTGAGCTGTTGTCTGCCAGGAATTTAATGGAGACTTCCTTAACTCTGATTACCATTAATGGTCCGACTGAAGAGTCCTGTCTTTACACATCCTGTTTGCGTTGGATTTAATCCCGAAACCCTTTATTCTGACCTTGATGAATATCCACAGGGATTTGTCTTGAATATCAATAGAAAGATCAGTGTTAGGCCAGTTGCATAAAACGTCCAGAGGCCTGACATTTGGCACAGTCTTACTCGTAGGATCACTGTCTTAAAATGTACGATTGGGCAGATTATGAGAGAATTCTTGAATTGTTCTTAATTTGGAAGCAAGTTTCCCACAGTAATTAAAAAGAGCTGCAGAAAATCATGTGAACCTTCACTTGAAAGGACAGCTAAGATTGGAAACTCGCCTTGTGGTAATTTGAATACATGTGCCCATGTGCTTCCTCTTCTTGGTAAAGCTTATAAATACATTACTATCTTGTATTGCTTGGCAATTTATTCAAATGATTTAAAAAACCTATTGTTCAAGATATACAGCATCAAGTTAGGCAAAACTAATCTCTTGACAAAAGCTGCAGAATATAGGTGTAACTAAATTGTTGTAATTTCAATGCTTATCCGTTTTTCTATGCTATTAACTTTTCGTATTATTTTTAAATTGATTCTTGTTTAGATAATGAAAGTGTTCTTACATTGGGTTGTGAATTGCAAGAGAGTGTTGGAACTCAACGTATTGAATATGCCTGTCACATTATGAAGATCTATGCTTATAACTACACTATACATTGGCATGTTGGCATGTAAAGCAGTCTTAGATGGGCAGAATTGTGTCAACCAGTCACTGACTGTGGTCTGTATTAGGAAATATCAAACTGCAAAATGTACAAGTCTGAATATTGTATTTCTGGAGAACTGTATGGTTTTCTGCCTCTTGCCGAGTTTTATCTTGTGGAATTACATTACAGCTGTGATTTAAAAATAAATAATGAAGTTACAAAATGGAGTTGAAAAGATGATTTCATTATCAACATCAGTCTCGAAAGTGAAAAATTAAACCACAACTATGCAAACAAATCTTGTAGTAAACATTCCAGAATTAATTTGCTTTTATTACAGTGGTGTGCACAATGTACAGTTAATTATTTGGTGTCTGATGCATTCAGAAATACATTTGAGTATTCAACTCAGTCTTGCATTTATACATGAAAATTTCCCATTTTTCTGGAATGGATTGTGCACTCTCTCCGCGGAGGGACGCACCCTGCTTACTTAATTATAGAAAGCACTAAACCCAGGTTGGCAAAAGCCACATGCTGGGGTAATGCTGGAATTTAACCAGTAGAAATTGTATAGCTTGTCATAGGAAGAACTTTTTGGCAAGCTTCCCTCTGTTTATCCAACTTGGACCATTCTGCCTGCTAAGGTTTTGACTTGAATGATTAAATAACGGCAGGTTGGGAAGAATCCCTGCCCCTAGTAGTCTACCCCTCCAAGTCCAGCCAATGTGCCAGACTGGAAGGTATGTCATCAACAGGGTCTTTGACTACTAGGCAGGAACCAGACACAAAATATCAACTTGATTCTCAGAATTTATCACCACAATTATCACTTTGGAGACAGCTCAAGGAGACCTGTGTACTCTTCTCTTTGCACCTCACGCATACACGGACACACAAAGGTACACATAAGGAGGGTAGTCCCTACTTGGCCAATTTACAGTAAAAGATTAATTTTGATGGAACAGATTAACTCCAACTGCAGAATAAACCGGAACTGCTTGTGGTTTTGTAACATAGGCTGTAAAATGATATATATTTTTGTCTTATATGATTTCAGGACAGCCCGCCTTGCGTGAAGCCTATTCCCTGTCGTGCATAACCAATGGGAGCCCTATGACCAGGAAACCAATGCATAGTTCTGCTCTGTCAGTTGCCAGGAAGGAAACACTTGCTTCCGCTGCTAAAAGGTACCAAATATAGCTTTTTATATATGTGGAAATGTTCACAGAAATTTGGAATTTTAGATTTGAGTTTTGGAGATTGACCATTTTGAAAAATGGCATTTTTGGACACAATACATCTGATGAGAGTATAGGATAGTAAAATTCCTTTCGTCCAAATCAATTAGAAGATTGGGTGAGATGTGGTCATAGGAGATAAACCTTGTGTTTGGATCGCATAAAGATGTTCAAATGCAGGGTGGGGGGGAATTGACAAGGACGATGGTTGTGGGTGGAGGAGAACCCAGGTTCAAGAATTTGACTGCTTAATAAAATAAATAGTGCAATTATTAAAAATGATTCACCATTGTCAGTGCTCAACTTGGACCTCACTGCCACCATGGAAGTTAAACCAGACTGTCTGTTGGCTACTACAGGGGAATATAGAGACAATGACATAAATTTGGACCAAGCAAATACTAATTGAAGGTTCAGAGGAAGCCTTCTGGAGATTGCAGAGTCAGTGCAGTGTTTATACTGTGGGCCTTCATCCATTGAAGCAATCTTTGCCAACTTAACATACTTTGAATTATTAAATGAATTCCCCCAAGTCTAATGTCATAGTGGACATATTAACCATATGATGTGGTTTGGACCCTTCCTGAGAAGACAGACCCCAAATTGTATCCCCTTATTCTGGAAGCTGTCAGACCATCTCAGCCACATATCAGTGAAGGCTGCAAATGACCTTAGAATTCCTGTGCTAAGGAGCAGATTGGGAAACACACTTCTCTTTGCTGTCTGCGCTAGACGATCCTGAGTGAGAACAGATTAAAAAATAGTGTATATTTCAATTAATGGATTTATTTCAATGGTGAGGAGTCAGACCTGCAGTTACTTCTGGGATGTGTAGTTTCCACATGTGTCGGCAAGATGTCCAAATCTCAGGTATCAGTGGAAAATCAGTGCTACACACCATTGGTATTCTATAAAGTACAATTCAATGAATAATTCAACACCTGACTGGAAATTATCCTCTCTTAGTCATGGAATTTTGTACAGTTTATTTATTTAGCTTCTTTATTGAGGCTGGTGTAAATTGGTAGAAAACAGCTGGTTGGCAGTGAGGTCCTTTCAGCAGGAATAGGGAGGAGAACAAGGGTGCTAGTTTTGTTTAAAAAAAACGACGAATAAACATGTTTTAAGATATTACAGAAAACTATGTATTACAGGTTCACAAAATAAAAACTATCCACATTAATATAACTTAACCCTCAAAGCAAAATATAACAAAAATACCCTACACTAAGTTGTTATAATGGTACAAACTATTTTTAAAACACAAATGGAGTATGATTGTGCTGATTTTAAAAAAAACAGAGTGATAGTGAGCATTTTATGCATAACTAAATACTCATATCTGAAAGTTTAGGTAATAGTTGACAGTATGATTTACAGTCTTATTTACTGTAATCGTTATGCAATTGAAGCAAAATATAAATTCAAAGGGTGTAACAAGAAAAGTTTTATACACGAAGCTCATACCTCCTTATAGTAGAGGTATGAGAATCATTGAAAGTTTGGAATTCAGGAGGCATTCTTGCTCCCCCAATAGTGTACTTCCATTGTATCTAGCACTGCCTTTTACACCTTCAAATAAATGACCCTAACACAATCTTATACAATAAAGGATAACCTTCCTGAGATTTTTTCTCATGATGTATAAAGTTTATTGAGCCTCTCTATTGTGTAACTGCTAAAATGTGTTAATTATTCTATAAGTCTTAAATTCTAAAGAATGTTTTTCTTAATGTCATTTTATATATTTTTTAAAATGCAGACATCTAAAATAAATATTGTGTGATTTATAAGTTTATTCTGATGCATACATTTATTATAAAATATTATTATTATTATTACCAGAAGTGCACAACAGCCTCTCTTTGGCTGGAGTGTTTGCTGCGTGCTTCCCAATAGGCTAATTCTACCATTATGGTTTGTTTATCTGAACTGTTGCTCAACATGGAAAGCATCAATTGCATTGAACAGAAACCAAAATAAACACTTAGTTGTTTGGAGACTTGGGAAATAAAGGGTTCTTTTTTTCTGGAAGTGATTACTGAAACCCTGGTTATTTACCATAATGGAGCAACCATTCCAACCCAGTTGATATTGGCAGTTAATCAACTTTGCACTGCAATGCAATTGTTGCATGAATTACTCAGTCAATCTATAAAATATATAAGGCTTCTCTTTTCCCTCCCTCCCCCACACCCATCTCTCTGTCTTCAAGATATTACAATCTTGTTTGACTATTCAATGATTTTTAGAGAAGTACAATATGCAATTGTGTTTCTGATCACAGGGAGAAAACCTCCCATGTCATTTGTGCCTCAATCCCATTCCTGTTTTCATTGAGGGATTCATTTCTGGACAGGAACCTCCCTGGTGATGTCAGCCAATGTGTAAAATGAATCCCTGAAAAAAGGCAATAAGAGAATGATTTTAAAACGACAACTAAAATCTACAAATCTTGTCCCTTAATAAAGTCACATCTTTCACTAAAATCGCGTCCTTCACTAATGTGAATGGATTTTATAGAATGCTTCCTGAAGGTGACAATTCAGTTGTGTTTCTTGGGAGTAATTAGAAATGCAGGTGAAATTAATTCTGAGTATTGAAACTTGGAGAATTTATCATTCTTTAACCATTTCCTACCAGGTTTCAATTAACTGTGTAAGCTTACACACTTAAGATGTGGCTCTTTATTCTGGCTTAGTTTTAAAATTGAAAAAAAAGTGATGCATGAAGGTTTTCTCATGAATTCAACACCTGTATTGAAGTCGAGATAGTTTAACCCTTTGAGTACTGAATGACTGTGGAGCTTCCAAAATGCCCAGGTTTGGTATTTTAGCAACTTTTCTTCCGAGTTTCTAATTGCTTGCCATTTTAAAAGTGACTTCAGAGATGTTTACACAACTACAGAATTTTTTTTTTTAATTTACAGTTATGGTCTGAAAGAGCTAAAGAAGTAAGTTGTTTTTTTTATACAAATTTTGGGGAAGAAATATGTTGCATATTTATAATTAAGTGACGCCGATAAAAGTCCTAAGCTCTAAGTAGGAGAGTTGCTATGAACTGTGGAGGAATGGTAAGTCGAGAATTGGAGCGTGTACGTGGTTGAGGGTGCGTAGATTTACTTTGTTCTTTCTTAATTTGACAAATTACTGAACCCTTTGTACACTGAATATCTTGTGCCAATTTTTTTATAATGAAGTCGTAAAGCAACTGCAGAAATTATTTTGTGTAATTTGTGGATGACATCAATGATGAGATCTGCAAGGCCTAAGTCTTCTCTGAGCAAAATGTAATTATTCTATTCTAATTAGAGTCTTCTCATAGCAGAAAAAGCTACTCAGTTCTTCAAAGGGTTAAAACTAGCAGAATAGTTAGGTGTTCAAATTTCAACAAAGCTATTGCATGTTTTAAATTAGAGATGTAGCTGACTTTAAATGTACCACTTTCAAGAAGTAGATTTTCTGTGGGCAAACGTACAGTACTTTAGTGAAAATTATACTACAGCTTTAATCGGCTTAGATCTTTACACACAAGTATAGTTTTCTATTTCCTTTCCTTTTTATTTAGTTTTCTTTTTCCTTTCTTGGGCAATTCTAATGTTTCGAATCCTAGAGGCCTTTTATTCTGATAGGATTGCAAAACTTAAAAGCTTTTCTTTGAAGCTCCTGTTCTGTCTCAATTTTTTAACCTACAGAATTGTTAGACACTCATGTCCCTCCTTTATCTCTTGACATAATGTTAGCTGGAAATAAACAAAAAATAAGCTGATGTGAAAGTTGAACATAACCTCTCTATTGCTAGCACCCATTGACCCCTACCTTTTCCTAGGACTGTCAAACCCGATGTTTCAAAAGCCAACATTTGACATTTCATACTTGCTCCTATTTTTTTCTGGCTAAGCATTTCTCTTTCTAAAACCAATTCTTTAGTAAAAATGGGAAAAAAACAGAAGTCACTGGGAACACTCAGTAGGTCAGGCAGCATCTTTATGTCTTTGTCTTTCTGGAGAAAGGAAAATGAGTCAATGTTTTGGGTCCACGACCCTTCGTCAGAACTAGGGCATTTTGGGAGGGAGAGGCTTTTAAGGACTAACAGAGAGAAGGAGGCAGGGCAAGGAAGACAGAGGAGAAAATGGAGTAGAAGACTGGGAATGATGGATTATAGAGGTGTCAGTGATGCAAAACAAAGGGAGGATTGCAACAAAGCAGGGGAATGAAGATGTTAATAATGCAATCTTGCTCTGTTAGCCCTTAAAAGCCAAATTGAACATGAGTCCAGGATGCCAACAGATTAAGTAATGTTATTACCAAAACACACGTTTATATATTTTTCCTTTATGGTGCATTTTTGTACTTAACCGATGAATATGATTTTCTCCAAACTTTTTAACCTGCTGCGCTTTTCCAGCAATCCAGAGAAAAACAAGGAAACGCCCCAAGAAAAAGAGGCCGACGTCGAGACTCAATCTAATCATCAAACTCTTCAAAATCAAGCACAAACTTCTCAAAGCTCACAATCTCCCCAATCACAAAGACACACTCAAGAGAACAAGACCCCTTCTTCAGCCAAAAGGTTTCCAGGATACAGTAATAGGGTTGTAACGATATGACAATGTTTTCCCTAAGTACTTATTTGTCAATTTAAAAAAAAGCTACCCCCAATGAGAAATTTATACGATTCCTTCAATTTCATTGTTGATCTTCATTCAGTTTCTCAGTATTATTGCTCTTGTCCAAGCTGCTTCAGATCAACTGGGACATTCCTCTTTACTGCTATGAACCTTTGCATAAATTAATTGTGGGTCCCTTGTTCCCAAAAAAGAACTTTCACCACACAAAAGATATACATTAACGAGAAATTTAATAGCAAGAAGATTTATGATGGAATCCAGTCCACATTACTTTCCCCACTGTGCACAGCAAGGAGAAAACATCTCATCAACACAAATAAGGGAATATTGCTTTCTGACGAGAGAAATGGGTTGATGCAGTAAAATATTCTCACAATAAATTAAGAATAATCAGGAATAACTTAATCTGTTAATTTTATTTTTTAAAAAACCTTAAAACAATTGGTAGAATACCTCAAGATCAGAAGATGCAAAATGATTATCCATGCATTATTTTATTCATCGTATATGAATAATATTTGTTGGTTAACTTTGCTACAATAATTTCAGATCAAGTTGAGGTATTCATTAGGTTTAGGACAATTTGAACCTTGGATTTGCAAAGCAAAACAGCAATTTGAGGAATTCGCTCAGTTTAGAATTCAGTTGAAAATGATTGATTTGCAGCAGTACAGTATGTTAGAGCTCCAGTGTGCTTTGCCTTGGATGTGGCAAGATATTTTTTGGAAGTTTCCTGTGAAGAAGTTTCTGATTTGAGTCATAGCGTTATTGAAGTAGTACGAAATGAGATTCCGACACTTGCTCAAGGGTGGAAAGTTTTATCACAAATCTTATCACACACATCTTCTTGTAACATTGGCAGAGGCCCAGGAACAGGTTTCCTGTCTTCCGTTCAGAGAGAATGGAAAATGGCATGTGTGCTGGGAGATCAAAGAGAAAAGTTTAATGAAGGATGGTGGGTAGGGAAAAAAATTGAAGAATGTTACATCACAAAAACAGACTATTTGCTCTGTTAATGTCTTGTAAATGTTCTCACGTAAATCTAGATGGTACATTTGTAAGATCCCACCTAGTCATATGTACTAGATCTCTGGTAATCTTTAAATTTGTTTTTACATAATTTTGTAAAGAGCTAGTAGTTCTGGTAGAACATTAGATTCATAACATGGACATTAGTCATTATGGAACTGCTATCTTTGGATGGATTTTATAAGCTGTTAGACTTCATTAAAATAAGCAAATTGCAGAAATCTATTTTGCTGGCAAATCAGTTGCTAAGAATTCAGGCAATGCATGGTTGCTGTACACTGTCATCCTTGGATCGTGTCCTTAGTCGTGTCCTTTTGAACCGTGTTGATGAACTAATTACTTATAGAATGAGGTGGAGAATTATTCACAAGATATACTGTGCTCATTATGTCAATTGATTATCGTTACAACCCTACATTCTTAAATGCTTTACTGTATGGAACAACTATTAAGAACTGACGTCAGTCCCAGTGGTATGGATCACCTCCTAAACATTGTAGTTTTAATAAACCAAATTTAGCAGGAAAAAGTACTGTCCCCGTTATTTTGCCTGTGGCTATAATTCCATTGATAAGTAAACATTGAAAGACAAACATGTGAACATGTTATTTTCTAATTGCCAATTTTTCCAGAACAGAGCAATTTAGCAATTATGTTTTGAATGGTATTTAGAGTTGAACATAATTGGAGTAAATTCTAAATGCTAAAACATTTTTCCCAAGTCCTTTTTAAGTTTGGCATATTACAAAAGGTTGTTGAACATTAAAACTGTTTAAGATACAATAGTTTAACCTTTGTATTGAGAATAAATAACTAGAAGTACCTGCAAGAATGAGGCAAACATTTTAAGGTTTACAAATCGTAAGATTCTAAATAAATGATGAAAACATCCAGCCAATGGACCACATGTTCTGTTAATGCGTCTCCTTAGTTGTTTATAGGGAGGTGTTCAAAGCATTGTATGAAGATACTATGGTCTTTCCATTTCAGACCAATTTTTCCCACCTTCCTTCCCACAAACATTGGTGTGACTGTCAAAATTCTTCTGTAGATCTAAAGAAGTCCAAATGACAAATAGAATTTCATGAGTTTCATAGTTTGGAATTCAACTTTCCAGTTAATAAAACTCACTGGAGGAACTTTTATGATGATATAGAGGATATATAGGAGATAAAAATCTCAACAGTATATGTTATTATGGTTAGGAGTTGATCCAAACTGTTGACACCATTTTACATTCTAGTTGGACATTAACACATTTCTCAGGGCCTTGTTTGCATACAATTTGCATGAAACCCTGAGTTTACCTTTGCTGGGCTCCTACTCTAAAGCAGACTATGCATGCTACTATGTCTTCAGTCTGGTATCGTGATGCTTTTTGTGTGCCAGGACTTTCAAATGTGTACCAGTACATTTTGGAGCATAATGCAGGATAGGAGTTTCAAATGCTCTTTGTATTTTTGACTTGTTTAACTTTGCATGACCCTGTGCCTTTTTACATCACTTTTGTGACCTTAACAGAAACTACATGGGAGAAGGGAAAGCTTCCTCTTCATTACTCAAATGTTTGGATATCTTCATATTAACGCTATTAGAATGGCTAAGTGCTGGGTGATAGTTAAAGCAGGAAGTGCAGCTAATATAAATTGAGTTATTTTACTGATTTTGACCTGTAAACCTCTTAATCATTGCAGCACTAATGCTAACTATGAAGAGAAATTAGCGTTACTTAAAGGAGTAATCCATTTCAAAGAGCCTACTTAACTCTATAGATTATTTTTTGATGAGGCCTTGACTTCATTACTTGTAAACCTTTTATTTACCCTGCATATTTGTTTTGGTCTGGAAAGCGATGTAAGTAATCAGAAAAGTCAATTGATTACTTTCCTTGCTTCTGCAAATAAATTATCTTGGGAATCATTTGAACAAATGTGTTGAAAGTCAATCTGTTAAACCTAATATTGCAGATAAAGCTATGTATTTCCGATTCATTCAAACCACCTAAGTAGATGAACTGAATATTTCTGAGTTTGAATAATTGGCGGTTACAATTTGTAACTGTTTTATCTTCTCTGTGCACCTATTTAGAAAATGTAAGTTTCATTCAGTCTATTAATTGATGATTTCACAGTGCTCGTCCAGCTTCCTTAAATTCATTTTTATGGATAACCAACAATGAGAGTTTATATATAAAATTTAGGTTAATCTAATGTCCGAAACCCAAGTGTTCCATGTTGATCATTAGATGGTTATTTCTACAAATTTAGCATTCTTTAATGGTGTTTGCTCATAAAGGTTTATATCTACAAAAAACATGGGCTGGTCTAATTTGTATATTTCTAAACAGAGTTCCTTGCAAATTGGAACTCTTTCCAGTGACACTATGTTTGGCTAATCTAATATGTGAATTTCTGCTCAGGTACCTCGGAGCAGTGATCATATGATGGGAATTCTAAAAGATTTCTTGTCAAGGAATTCTATCCAAAATTGGATCCGAAAAATCCAGTTTATTGGGTTTTCTGAATTCTTCCATTTAAAATACTGAGATTTTCCGATTTTCCTTTTACATTCTTGCTCCTTTAGAATCAGTTACTCTAAATTTTTCACTTTTTTTTTGGCATTAGTGTTTTTTACTGCAGTGCTCGAGAGAGTTGTTCTCAAAAAGAATGATCTGAATTATTGCGAGCAGCACAGTGAAAGAAATCGCCTGCACTCAAGTTACAGTTTTCTAAGTCATTGATAATTTATCCAATATTTTTCAAAAATGTTTATGCTACTCAGCATGCATATGATACTTTTCCTAAGTACACATACCTGGTTTCATTACCATCTCAGGTAATACTTGCTGCAACGCTAACTGCTATGACTTGCAATGCTCTTTGACACTTAACTTGGATACAAGATGCTAGAACAATATAACATTTTCCTTTGTCTACCTAGCTTTGAGGATTTACTGCCACTGCTTCCCCTCTGGCGCTTGGTATTTCAATGACTTATTTGAAAGGGTGACCGTTCTTGGTGCATTCTGTCTCTTAGATGATAACCAGCTTTCTTTACCTTTACAGTGTAAAGCGAGGAGCAACAATTGAAAGGTCACAGAGCAGCACCTGGGAAGGTTCTGAGGAGAATCGCAACAAGCTGTTGAGAGCAGCTTCGACATCCAAGTTAATATCAAAACACAAAAATGCAGAGAAGTAAGCAGAAAAATGATGCCCTGTTCAAAAAATAAAAGTTTTTCTCAGTTAAGACAGTTTACGTAACGCCAAATTCTGGAATTGTGTGGGGGTGAAACTAGTACAGGAATGGGTAAAGGAAAATATGCAGATTTCTTCCTCCTAGCTAATCAGCACCATAGTTGCTTAACCTGTCCTCAGCAGACTGCTGCACAAGCCTATTCTCTGCAGCTTGTTTCTAAACGTCATTTGCTTAGTGGGAGAAGAGAGAGAAGTAACTGAATATAGACGATTTCCCGATGCAGACCATTGGAATGTAGTTGTAACTCCATATAAGGAGTTTTAACTTGGAAATTTCCTTAGTCGCTGTTAAAACTCCCTTTATGGAGTTTCAGCTGCATTACAACTGCCTACATGAAGAAACCCACAATCAGCTATATTCCAAATCCAATCCTACCTTCTGCAATTTGTCAACTTGTGAATCGATCCAAGTCCCTTTTGGAATCTTTAGGTTAATCGATCTTCACTGCACAAAGTAGCATTTCATTCCGTTATTTAAGATGGCTTATATCAATGCTCATTTTTCTACTGAGTATTTTTCTCCAAAAGAGAGTAAAAAGGCTTGGGTAGAGTACTTCTTGTACAAATATGCAATACAATTTACATTTATAAAGCTTCTTTCACAAGATGTCTCAAAGTGCTTCAAACTGATAGGTGGGCACCTTAGCTGGAGGTGGAAGCTGAAGGGGATGAGGAGGGGGAAGATGACCGAAAGCACATTCAAAGGATCTTGAATGAGGGAGCAAGTTAAAGAGACTCCAGGGTGGAGTTCCAGAGAGCAGGGGCTTGAAGCTCACCTGCCGATGGTAGGGTGGGTGATGCAGGGAACGTGAAGCAAGCCAGTACTTGTTGAGCACAGGGAACAGCCAAGTTAGTAGGGTTGAAGGAGGGTGGGGAGGTAGGGTAGATAAATCCGTGGAGATTTATCTGTCCCGTTTATTTATAAAACATTAAAAATATATCACATGCCTATTGGGCATTCCACATTGTCTTGAATATCTTGGATCAGATGGTGGAAGAGTTGCTTGCAGTAGTTTTACTATCATTTTTTGGTTCTGTCTACTATCACTTTTCTCTCATTTCTCTCACTGCAGAGTTAGGGGGGGAAAGGAAACGCTGTCTTGGGGCACCAAATAATTCGGCAACATATTTATCCACAATATTTGTGCTAATTATTTATATGAAGAGGAAATAAAGCATATTACTTTTTACTCTGGTGCAATATCATTTTTATTCACTTCCTAATCATATTGCTGTGAAGTGGGACGCAATGGGTTATTCTTACACTGATGGCCATCTGTTTGATTTTATAATCTATTTCTTTGTGGGACCACAAGAAACTGGCTGGTGCTATCAACTTGTCAGAAGTAAAATCAGAAAACTCCTTGTTTGAATGAAATTCGCTTTTCAACTTCTTAACCTCGTCCTTCATGTCTATTGGAGAGATCTGACTGACCTCACCAATCTGGTTTCCAGAGTCTAAACAGACATCAAATGTATGATATGAGACAAATGTTACCATACTATTGTGTCATATTAATCACTATTTTATTGATAAATGCTTTCATCTGACAAACTGTAATGTGTAAATTAAGGTCAAGAGTCCCAAAAGCTTAATCAACACAATGAGTACTTGAAACAGTATATCCAAATTTCTCAGTTTGTGCTTTTAATTACTTCTGCTGTTTGAAGATGAACTGCCATAGATATTTCTGCTGCAGATCAAAGTCATAGATTGAAAGATGGTTTGGTTTGTTGTGATTATTTTTGCTGTGGTGTTGGGGAGAGGCATAGTGTGAGATGTTATAGTGTGAGATGCTTACCAATTAATACAAGCTGGATTGAGGTAGTGCTTGAACTGCATTTTGGAAAGAATCACTCTTAATTCACAGTAAAATTTGGCATCACTCCAAACATACTAATCATTGATAATAAAGACCATGTCAGCAGATTTAATAAAATAAACGCATCAATAATAAAGGAGCGTCTTCTGTATTTTCTCCCATTTCTTCAGTGAGTTATGTATGGCCTGTGGCAATGCAGTCATTTTTCTTCTTTGTATAAATTTTAGCTCTGGGTTAATCAGTTCTGTACATTTCAGGATTGTGACATTGAATATAAATTAATATTCACATGATGTTAGTATCTCAAACGCCAGATTATCTTTATTACTGTAATTTTAACCCTGACCCACTAATTACACCCCGACCTATACAGACTGAATTGTAAATAAAAGTAAGGCATTTAAAGATTATTATCTGTTATCACGTTTTTCCTTCCAGTTTCTCTGTTTTCTGCAAAATGTATATTTTAAAATAATCATTCATGCAATATGAAAAAGCCTAGATTTTAAAATGTTCCTGTTAAAATATTTTTCTCTACTCTGTTTAACCAGATGCGTCAAAAATACTAATTCTATAAATGTAACATAATCAAATCGAGTGGGTTCAGATGATGCCATAATTGGCGAGAGCAAAACTTAAGTGACTTATAACCACTATCTGAATCCCACAAAATATTCACTTTACAGTATATTCTGTGAAGCGCTTTGAGACGTTTAGAAGACGTGATAAGATGCTACATCAAATGCAAGGATATTTTATTATTAAGATTAATCCCTTGTAACAATTTGCATGCTATCCACAGTTAGTAATAAATTACTGTGGAGTGGGTGTGGGCTGTTTTAATTTATTTCAATAGCTTTGCTGCTCCACCTTCTATACCCCTCAGGTCATTTCTTCAGTGGGAATTTAACTCTTAATATATCATTTGAGAATTAAACTCATTATTATATGAGTTGAATAAGAAATGCTTTATTTTGAATTTTTACTTGAAAGTTTCATTTGATTATTTCATACTGGTTACATGAACTTGGTGTTTTTTTCTGTATTTGTTTTTTTGCCAGATCTAAGGAGCCAATTGTCAGTCAAGGTAAAAAAAAAAAACTTTATTTCTCTTTTAATTTAATTGTTGCCTGCATGTTTTTCAGTACTGTTTACAACTTGTTTTTTTCTTCACTCTCCATTTCTTAAAATGATCATTATTTAAATATCACTTTTCATTGAATAATTCAAAATGTGTTTTTATTAATCAGTATAAAATGTTAGAAAATGCCAATAGGTGAAATCCATCGTGAATTTTAAGACTGAACTTGCAGCGACTGAACTGTGACTGGGATTATGAGGGCAATAAATTAATGGCAAGGCTTAATTTTGGGTGGGTGGTTTATAATAATAATTATTATTATTGATTAATAATAATTAATAATAATTATTAATTATTAATAATTATTATGAATATTATAAATGTAATTATTATAACGATTATAATAATTAATGATGATTATTATAATAATTGCTATAATAGTTACAATTATTAAAATAATTCATAATTATAATTATATACTATAATAATTATATTATATAATAAGGATTGTATCTAAGGGTAACCCCAAAGGCGTTATAAATGCGGATGTGTTAAATTAAAAGTAGTCAACCCAATTCTCGCCGGTCTCTACTAGCTCCTAGCAGATACATTCACATCCAGGAACCTTCACAGATACATCCAGGGACCTTCACCTCCCTGGAGCCTTTTTATTTCTCTGATCTCCTCTGCCCACCTCCTCTGCCTGTCCTCTCCAATCAGCTAACTCAGAAGATCAAAAGGATCAAAGGGCACTGAAGACGTGATAAGCTGTTTTCTCTTGTAAACGTGCACATGGCCATGTTCTTCTCTCTCCCCCTCGCCATACTCGGAATCTAATCCTGTTCCTGTGAAGCACTTTGAAATATTACCCTATATGAAGGATGCCATCTGAAAATTATTGTTGCATCGTGTGCTGGACCTAGAAATTACCCATCAGTGATACCAGAAATTAAACGGATCATATTAACTTTGTTCCATTAAATGCAAGTGAAATTAATTTTGGTTTGATTTTAATTATTCTGTTGAAATGACCATACTCTGCACATATTCTGCGTTAACCCCTTGCAGGTACTTGCACTTCAAATTTGCACAGTTCCACAACTATGCTGATAGAATAATAATAATACTTGTGTTTTATATAGTGCTCAGGTCCTGATCCCCAACTATTCAGCACCTTGGGACGTCCTCCTGACGTGAAGAGTGCTTTACAAATGTAATTTTGTTGTTGTTGTTGCCACTTATCACATTGTTGAGCATCTCAAAGCGCTTCATGGGAAGCGTGCAGGCAAGTGTAGTGTTTGTAGTAAATGATAAAAGCTGTTTGTCGTTATACTCTTCATTTATATTTCTTTTAGAGACAATAAATTGATTGTTTTTCTCAACGAAAGTTGTATTCCTTCCTTCAGGAAGATCTTGGCCATTGTTTAAATGGGCTTAAGAGCAGGAAATACTGTATTCTGCAGAATTAGTTTACGGAAGTTGTTTGTCTTTTTGTTGTTGCTTTCATCATTCGGTTTGTGTTCATCATGTTTACTTTACCTCTTATCATTTTTGCTTTACTCTTCATTCATTTAAGATTTTTATAAAGTATTTTAAATTTGATTTGAGTATTTTTCAGTCTTAAGGTAGGTAATACATTTCACTTACATATCATGATTTGTTTTAAGTTGTTTTATCTCTGTCTTGTGGTCAGCCCAAAGTTCACGCCGTGGAGCGTACAGCCAAGGTAAGTACCAGTCAAATTGCATCCAATCAGCTGCTTTCTAACTCCAGCTTATACAGTCTTTCTTGGGTTTTGGTTTCTGGGACCGCACAGTCATTGTAAAGCATTCAGTTTATAGGAGTGAGCCATCCATTTATTGTTCAGGGGTTGATAATTGTTTTACATGGATGAATTGTCACTTTTGGCACTGTTACACCATGCTGTGGAGTTAAAAAGATAAGAATTAGAAGATAAGAGTTCTAAAGATAGAGCTAAACATATAAAGATTTCAAGAACGATTATTCCAATAGAATAAACAGAAAATGCTTGAATTCAAGGTTTTATTTCGGTCATGAGAAATGCTTATAACTTGGGTTCTTTTAAACTTGCTTGAAGGATGTGAACAATGATTAAAGCTCTGGTTCCAAGTCTGATATCTTCAATTATAATTTTGGGAAACTATTTAAGCATGTTTGTCAGCTATGACATTTTTGGAGTGATTATTTGATTGTTGGCAAATATTAGCATGTCATCACTTTATAAACATAGCATCCTTAACTTCTAATGGGGCCAATCCCATTAAAAGTAAGCTTATTAATCAGGGGAGGATTGCCCATTTGCAATGGAGGTGGTGCATTTTAAAACTTGTTTGGTTATTTATGGTTAGTTTCAGGAATGTCTAAACCTATGTTGCTTGACTCACACCATGGCATTGAACAGACAAATGTGATTAATATAGTGTTGCAGGTAATTGTGGCAAAGTCACGTTGCTCGATTAAGACAATCTACTGTGCAAGATTCAGTACATCTATGTTTGTTTTTCAGTACCAGGATAATGATATGGGGGGTCCTCATTGGAACGCAGTTTGAGCACAGTTTTGCTTGGACTCACTTTATAGTCAAAGCTTGATTTCTGGGGCTGACAAATCCACTTCCTGCACTTATATTAAAAAAAGGGTAACTCTCAGTGATGCACGCTGTGTGCAGGAAGCATCTCAGATGTCACTTCCTGCATGTTGTGCATTTAAGAAGCGATGCTGATGACATTTGGCGAAGCATATGCAATGCACAGGGAATGGAAGTTGGCCATTTTTTAAATCTTCTTTATAATCTTTGCCCTGAGAGATTTGGCCCAGATCCAGACCCAGACAACCGTGTTATAATAGAGGTGCCCCGTTTTGGTTCCCTCACTATAGGTAATATTTTAGTTTACTATTTGCCTGTAGCCAGGATGCCGAAGTTCAGTTTTTAGTGGTGAGATTGAGTGGAACAACATGGCCCCTTTTTGGCAGAAATCTTAACTTTTCCAATTTTTCCTTTGACTAGTATTTTTCAAATTCCATGCATACTTGTTCCTGGAGTTGGATGTGAAGAAATAACAGATTTTCTGAAAAGACATTAATATTTATTCACTGATAGCAGACTAAACAAAAAAAATTCCTTCCTTCAGCGTGAGTGTCAGGAGTTTATTTACCTGGAGACTTAAACCTTATAGTTTGGAGACCATAGCAGACTTAAAACCTGTACCAGCCAAAGGTGAATGGGACTGTTTTTAAAGAAGGTGGCAATAAAATGTATCTGTTCTGACTTGTTTGTACTAGCTTGAAGGATTTCTAAATTGTATCTGTACATTTTAAGCAAGACTGCTAGAGCCTCCAATCTGGGAATCTTAAAAAGATTCTACTTTAGTCATTAACATAAGCCAATAATGGCACTAGGCTAACCTTTTTGTTTGCCAAGTATGATAAAAGTGGTAAAAATCATAAATGTTAAAGCGCCTTTTATTGTGCCAGCTAAAATTACATATCTTGAGAGAAAATTGCAAATAGAGGTCGATAATTGTCAAATAATTGTCTGAGTCCATGTGCAGTGCAGTGAAATTGCCTTTGAAAACTCCTGGATACTCAACATTTCCTATTCTGCTGACTACCGTGTTTTGCCCACAAAGTATGCAGTCAATTAACTTTACAGTTTATATTCTGTGAAGCACTTTCAGATGTCTCGAAGACGTGATAAATCGCTATCAAGTGGAAGGATTATTATATTATTATTACTACGTTTTATTGTACTTCAGTAGTACATAATGTATTCATAGAGATACCACTCTAAAGTTGTTATTTCAGCTTAGTACAGTGTATGTATTAATCCTGGGACAAATGTCACTAATTTCTTCCAATTAGCATAGGATATTAAATAGAGTATATGGAGCAAACAGGAGAGGGAATTACTTTGGCCTCTGAAGAAGAACGATTCATTGTCAATGATGAACTATTGGCTCCTATTACAGAAAGTGTTAACTAGAAGCCATATTTGGCTGCCTTTTCTGATATCAATTCCATCTAGACAGGTCAGACGTCAAACCCAATCCACAGCATCACCTGAAAATATGTGCAAGTCTTTTAGCTTTGGAAAACAGCTCATCGGTGCAATAGTATTCAAAATATTTTTGAGTGCTTTACAACAGTTAATGGCAATTGATCTTTTGGTGATTTTCATACGGTTGTGTATTTCTTTTAAAAAACTTCTTGGGAGGCAACTTTAGCTTGTGCTTTTCTGTTTTTAAACCTTGCTAAACCTTTATTCCATAACATTATAATGGTGGACTTAGGTTATGGAAAGATCTAAAGAAATGTTGATACCTGGAGATTGAACGACACAGTGGGTTAGCGCAATTACTTCCAGGGCTTGAAGTTTAGTCCCATCCTGGACTGAGAGTTTGAAATAAAAATCATTCACTCTGATGCAATACGACTGCTCTTCTAAGATTGTGACTAAGGGATGTTGTTGATGCTGAATAGAGATCACTTCATACTGCAGCTGTCCTTGCTAGGTCAAACGTAGGAATACTGGAACACCACCAACACATGGTTTCAATAAGGGGGAGAGTATCTCTCCCTTGAGCACAAGAAAAATCTGATAGTAAGTTGGACTCATCCAGGTTTTTTTTGTCTTGAAATAGTCTCGGCTGTGATAAATATTAACACGGTTACATTTAACTTTCTTTTCAACATATTGTTTAAAGCATTTAACCATGCTTGAAGTGTTTTGAGGCATTAAAAAATATTTCTCTTTCTACGTGAAAAATTTAAAATGAATTGCAAACATTCTTTAGAACTGGAAATATTTTGATGGCAGGGCGCAGTCAGATCTTTGCAGTGGAGGATAATTTCTCAGTGACTTCCTTCCTGTTTCCTCTCATTCCAAGTCTGGTTCCATTTAGTTGATTTTCAGTTAGGGTGCTCTTCTCCAAGGTAAGGTACTGCACTTTTAGTGGAGAACTGAGTTTGATGGAAGTTGTTTACTCTTTGAGTGCTGAATTTCCCCGTAACGTTTGAAATGTACACATACCAATTTCTATCATTCACAATCTGTAGAGCTAGAATTAGGTGATGAGATGGAATCAGTGTGTTTTAATCCTAACAGTCTCCACTGTATAAATCACCAAGAATTATAGTAGTTGCTGAATAATGAATTATGCTAATTTTGAGTCACCTTTTGATTCTCTAACTGAAAGAAGCAAACGCCTCTTTAATCCTTGAACTTGAGAAATTGCCCGCTGTGCCTGTATATCATTTCACAGCAACAATCTTTGTGGCCTCCTTGAAACCTGATTTAGTGCAGAACCCAGGGTAGTTTATGCTGTTAGTTCACTCGCATTCAGCACAAAATATAGCTTTGGCTGAAACTGTTACAGGTAGCTTTGGGTCTTCAATGACCTTTGTCCAGTCACCTGGTAACTGGTGTTTTACCTGTCAAATATTTTGAATTCCAAAAGATCTCTAGGTTAAAATCCTCTGTTCTCTTATTCTCCTTGCCTCTCACATGTATGCTCAAAAATGCCTGTGCAGCACAATTCACCATGTGTTGTTACTTATGTTGCTCCCTTAATAATCCTAGTGCTGCGTTTGGCAATGAACTGCGCTGATATAGGCAGCAATTGTGAAGGTTTTTGTTTTCAGTGTCATTCAAAATAATGTGGAGCAAGCAGTACAAACTTGATACTGCCGGGAGTAAAGTGTTTTTAATTTTACTTATGGTTATTGTTGGTTTTATTTACCCACACAAAAGTAGAACTAGATGAAGCAAAGAATTGTTCCTTCATGCACCCACACCTACAAGTGGATGGATACCGGTTGTAACTTCTCTGTCTGAAAGTGTGAAGTATCACCTCTCATGTTGGAAATATAATGCCAAATATAGCTGCTCTACATAATTTATTCTGATCTCTTTTATACTATTTCATATGTGGAATTTATGCCTATCTCATGTTAGAAATCCAAGAACACACTGCACTTCCATTGTGAATCGTTTGTAATATTGAATGAGGCAAGAGCTGGCATCACAGTAAGCTGAGGTGTCCCCAATGGTTAATACAGTATATCCCCTGCTAATACAGTATTTATCTCATGTGACAAATTGTCACTTAGGTGAGTTATTGGAAAGCTGCTGGGGTGCGTGGAACAATCTCCAGCAGACATTCAGTGTCTTCAGGTGAAATGATAGTAAACAAACAAAATGCATTAGCATGGTTCATATGAGCTTAGCACAAGCAGTGGAGACCTTTGGAGAATTCTCTTAATTAATCATTTTTCTTAAAACTGCTAATGGCAAACATGACTGTTCACTATTATCCTCTCCTTGCAATGGGGAATTTATTTTATAATGTGTGAATTGAAGTCTTGAAGTTTCAGATTGTTTGGTGAATGACAGATTAATTGTGAATAGAATTTTAAAATTGAAGTGCAGCTTTGACTAAGCATTTAATCATCGCTGGATAGGTTTGGCACAATGTGAAGAGGAGTGTTGTAACAACTCACGACATGTTAAATAATTAGCCATTGTAGTTGACAAGGATAGTTGTAATGTTGGCTGCCTTCCAGTTTTTCTGGATCTTTTGTGTTTTTGTCCATTCCCAAGATTTCAAGCTTGGCCAGTGGTGTATTAGTTTGTGTCTGTTTTATTCAAGTTAATTAGAGCATTTGCTGATGGTAATGTTTGGAATAATTCATTGTATGATTGGTTAGTTCTGGTCTATATCATTTCTAGAAGTCAATTTATTATGTGATTTAGTGAACCTTTAAGGAATGAGATACAGATTGGTATTTAAAATGGCTTTAATAATGTAGTATTTTGCATTTAAGGAGGGATGACAGAATGCTATAAAATGACCTGTGGCGCATATATAAACCCAGATTTCTTGGAGCTTTCTTGCCTGTTGAAATTAAATATAAATGTTTCCATGTAAAATTGGCCAGCAATTACAGACTCGGAGATTTCAGCACAGAAGAGGCCATTAGGCCAAACATGCCTGTGTCATGCAAGCTTCCTTCACTGGAGCTACCTACCCTCATCCTATTTCCCTATTCTTTCAACATATCCTATTACAACTTTTATTCTTCAAATGCTTACATAATTCCCTTTTTGAATGTCCCTGACTTATCTTTGATAGTCACATGTGGCAACACATTCTGCATCCTAATAACCCGCTGTGTGTGTTTAAAACCCAAACTCCAGCTTTCACGTTTGCCCTTCCAGTCATAACTGAATAGTCTGGTGATACCAATTTAACAACCAAGATAACTTTGCAGTTTACTATATTGATATCTCCATAATTTTGAATACATCCATTATCTCCTCCCTTAATTTCTTTTCTGATGATATATACAGCCCTATTTTTGAAGCCTTTTATTTTAGCTTTTCCATTCAACCCTAAGATCATCCCACTGAATGTTCATTGTACCCTCTCCAGTGCTGCAATTGTCTTCCCACTTTGGACCATTCCAAGTTCTTCTTGGATGCAACTGCTTTTACAAGAAGTTTTTTTTAGGCGAATACATTCGAGAGATGAGGTCTGCAGGGTTAAGGCATGATAGATATTATTAATTGTACATTTCTATCATGGTTCACCTTATTTCACTTCCTAATTTGCATGTTGCTTTTACTATCTTATTATTGGCATAAGGAAACAAATGGTTTAGCTAATTACTTGCATTGGTTTGAAATAAGCATCTCCTTTGGGTCATGACGTGTTAATAAAATGTAGGTTTGTTTAATCTACAGTAAATGGATAACCATGCAACAACACTTGGAATGACTATTTTGTTTTCCAGAACATCGAATACCCAGTAAACATTATTAATGTTTTGTAAAGGGAAATGAGTTGGGCACCAATGTAAGAGGGAGGTGATTGATGATCTGAGCAAGATCTCTACACTTAACTAAATAGAATAATTAGGCCTCCACTTGCTATCTTTTCATGTTTTCGCAGTCCAGAATTATACCACTACGACTCTGTGGGCCTTTAATGTGATACTAGAGATAGCTTTCTAAATTGGAAAAACAAGCATTTTTTTTACTCTTGCTTCCATTTGGTGAAATAAAACGATATTTCCTTGCTGTGGTTTCTTTTTCCATATTAAAATGTTTAATCACAATATTGTCAGCCAATGCTATAGCATTTTTATTGTTATATTTCACCATTTTGAATTCACCATTGTATAAAAAATATTTTTCATTAAGGAAGAATTCAGGTTTGGTTACTTTGGACAACTAGGGAGTTTATAGTACCATGGGGAGGTAGAAGTGGTACTGCATTAAAATGTCTTTTGAAGTTTATTTCTTGGGGGCTTTTTGGATTTATTGCCTCCATTCATGACCTTCAACTATGCTTTGGATCAAACTTATTGGTTCTGCTAAATTTACCACATTTACTATCTTCAAATTGCCCATTCTATGACCACATTCCCCTTCTGTGTCAATCAAACAATCTAAAGAAGATTGGACTATGGTTTAAATAAATTTGCTAATAGCTTAGGATCTTTTGCCAAGAAAAGTACTTTGAAATGTTTTCAAGATTTTAATTGTTACAAAGTACAACAAAACAGCTAGTTTTGCACGAGTTACAGCTTTGAAGTAAAGTTAGAATGAGTTTTTTTTNCAAAATGTCATGACCCAAGGTATAGCAGTAAACGTTTAATGAAACAAAATCCTATTAATTGCTTAATTGCTTCTTAAATTTCGAGGTAACCATGTGCTGTAATCTACATTGCATGTAGCATGCATAAATGCATTTTCCCAACTGCAGCTACAGAACCCAGATAGCTTTACTAACAGGAATGGTTTTGTTTTAAACAGAGGGAGATATGATCAAGATGTTCATGCGGGGACGTCCCATCACAATGTACATTCCTTCTGATGTAACAAATTACGATGAGATCAAGTCAGAACTGCCTTCTGAGAAGCTGAAGCTCGAGTGGGTGTATCCTTGACATGTTGCTTGCCTAAAACCATTCACCTATGGTATTTCAATCAGTTGCTAATTTTAAGTATTTTATAAATACTGCACTTAAATCTGGAATCTACATATTGTGTATCTATTCTTCATCGAATCGGCATATCCCATTGAATAGCATAACCTATGCAGTCACTGCAAATTGGAGAATTATTCTGTACTGTGGGTATATAACTGGGGTGATTTTTTCAGCTTTCTAAAATGCTAAAAAGAAATTAGGTTAGACAAAATAGTAGATTTGCAGATTTACTGATAAATTCATATGATACAGTGCCTGTTTTATGTGTTTGTTGGTGGCTGTGGAATAGACATTTTTTCTTGAGTTTTTTTATATTGTATAAATTATTTAAACAATAACTGTAGTATTACACAGATCTGGCATGCCCTCGTATGGAGTAATCAGAATCTGATTTAATTTGGTTTACTTTCAGGATCTTAACAAGAGACTTACTGCATAAAGTAAACTTAGTTCCACAATGATCTGTGGTTTTGTTGAAGGTGTGGTTGTTTTGAAAGAAAAGGAATTTAACCAAAAGCCTCTTTCAAGTAAATATATGCTGGAAGAAAGATATTACAGAATAGTTATATGCCAAAAATGTTTAAAACTATTTTACTGCATTTGTTCCCATAATTCCTTTCTTTAATAACTGTTATTTGTGAATGAAGGAATAAACAATAATTTAGAAGCTCCATCTCAAGATTCATGAATCAACTAGTAGCCAAACAAAACTAGTAGTCAATACCTGCAGTCCAAAATGTGAATGATGTCATCCAGTGGAGAACTATGGCGGTTAGTCAGGTTTAAAATAACGGGTTTGCTTAGATACTCGCCTTAAGGACTGACTAACCTATTAAAAGCTGTCCATTTACCAAGTACTGACTTGCTCCTTTACTGCACCACTATACCAAATTCACTCTTAAAATGATCTGGTTTAGTTTTATATATTGTAAGAGAATTATAAGTAGCTTGTGAATACCTTAAAGATTTGAATTGCCCCTTAACACTCTTGCTTATTTAAAAGATGTGTAAAATATTTAGTTTGAACTCTAGTTTCTTCCCCTTAGTACGAGTTGTTGCATTTTAAGTAATGCTGGAAATGTTATAATAAAATGTATCTGAGGGCAAAAAGATGGTTTAGTAAGTCCATTTCAATTTAACATGTCCTTAACTAAAATAATAGATATGGCTATCGAGGGAGGGACTGTCGTTCCAATGTCTACCTCCTCCCTACTGGAGAAATTGTCTATTTCGTAGCATCTGTTGTGGTGCTGTATAATGTTGAGGAGAGGACACAAAGACACTACTTGGGTCACACAGATTGTGTTAAATGGTGAGCCAGTTGTACAATTTTTCTTTCCCCATCAGGAATTTACAAGAATGGACTTGTTTGAAGATTTTTTTTGTTGAAACAAGCAGACCTTTGGTTTCCCAACACTTTGTGAGTTCCATGGTTTGGAAAACTGTACCTCATAAACATAAATCTTCCCATATGATACTAAATAATCCCTCCAAAACTAAAAACAATAATAAATTGGTCATTTTCAATCTACGACTGTTTGTGGGACATTGCTGTGCGCAATTGGCTGCCGCGTTTGCCCACAAATATACAGTCAATTCACTTTACAGTGTATTCTGTGAAGCGCTTTGGGACGTCCTCCCGACGTGAAAAGCGCTACATCAAATGCAAGGATTATTATTATTATTATTATTATTAAATGGTGAGAAAAGAAGAAAATGTTTATACAAAAATATTGGAAAAGTTGAATACCAGAAATTTCTACTAATATACATGAAGTCACTAGTTCATTCCCTGTAGTTTTAAGAGAATTATTCATGTGATTCAGGGAAAACATAAATTTGTGCTAGAAGTTTGTATGCAAATCCTAGAACAATAGCTACATTCTTATAGTTTGCCTGAGCAATCTCTTCCAGGAAAACCAAACGGTCGATGGAGCCAATTCGGTAGCAGGCTTGGCTCCATATGTGAAGCTGAATGATAGTCCAATTCGTATTTGATATATCATGAGCACTCAAAGAATGAACTCACTACAAAAGTTTTGCCAATTTATGTGCGGTTTAATGTCAGAGTTCATTTTCAGCATTGACGTATATTTCTGTGAAGTGGCTGTCTTTGTTGGACTAATCATGCTGAGTCTTTTCCTGGCGACGTCCAGCTGATTTCAACTGTTTACAGGATCACCAGATTAAATGTTTGACTCACTTGAAATTGTATTTTGCAACAAGAATCTTTAGAAGGTAAATATGTAGCAGAAACTACCTTCCCGATCTCCGTAAGCAAACTACATTGCCTTTTAGGAAGCTCTTTCGGTTATTGTAGGTTCCTTTCCTCTGTAGAAACGAATCAGTCTGGATCTTCAGACCCAGCAGGCTCTTAAAATAGCTGTATAAAGACAATACTACGAGCTGTTCTATCTAGTTCAATAAATTGATCATAATATATCCATCTTTGAGACGTCTCAAAGCGCTTCACAGAATATATGGAATATACTGTAAAGTGAATTGATTGTATGTTTTGTGGGTGAATGTTAACAAAATGTTAAGAAACTCGTAATGATGTTTACAGGAATAGACATTGTCCTTGGTCTGATCAAGAAAGAATTCTTCTCAGAGTGACTCCTTGATTCTCTCATTGGCTGGTTATGCAATAGTTGTGAGTCTGGAGATTCTGAACAGCCCAGCTAGACGGAAGAGGAAACTCTGTTTTCTGTTTAAAAGTTCTCCTGTCGGGCAGCTATCTGTGAATCTATACACAAACTTACCATACATGTTTGAATAGAGCTACCATCTGATCTGATTACGAATGGCTATGCCTTTCTAGTCTTAAATTAGCACGTCTTAATTTATATTGCAGATAGTTTTCTGGAAACAATTGTGCAACACTGGCTCCCAGTCCTGAAGCTGTAGTAATTGCCCTATTTGATGGCCTATGCAACTATTTTTTTAACGCCTCTCATAACTATTTAGTAGGCAGCAGTTCCTGCCCTGAAGGTCAGAGAGTCTGTGCAGGCTTTGCTTGCTCAGCACATGGTACCTGTAAGCAAATCAGCCATTGGCTAAAGGTATGGGGCTTCTGATAGGAGTTTGGAAAACCACCCATGTTTGTGATGTGTTCCTTTTGTTAATGGCTTGCAGCTGCAATGGAGCTGCCTGCAGTGACAATGGCTTTGCCTGCAATGGCAATTTGTACCTTTTTTGTAGTATAAAATTCACAGTAGATTTTGGGTTATTGGTTTCATGAATATTCATGGTGCATGGATATTGTCAAGCTATGCCTCTTAAAGAACAGCTCAAACATGTCTGTGTTTGATTTTATTATTTATAAGCCCCAAGAATTTTCTTATTGACCGTTTGTTCCTTCATCACAGTGCTGGAACTAACAACATTATTGATACCTGGGCTATAACTTGCAGTATTTATAGTAGCTCTCACAAACACCCTCTCACTATGTCGTGTAAGTAAATGAGGATATTCAACATGATCACAATAAACCTACTGAATAGCTTCAGTTCCAAATGAAAAGTCCTTTGCCATCAGGTAGCTTATTTTGTTTGGGCACATTCAGAAGTGTGGATTTGATTCTGGAACTCATATACATTTCAGTTGAAGCCTAAATTGGATCTGTTTTATCCAAATCATGACATTTATTTTATGGTTCTGCTTAAGTTATTCAATTAAAAAATGTACAACTTGATATTTATCCAGAGCACGTTGTTGTTTTACGATTTTTCATCCCCACTCCTCAGCCTTGCAGTTCACCCAGACAAAATCAAGATTGCAACAGGACAGATAGCTGGAGTAGACAAAGATGGAAGAGTGAGTATGATCAGTCCTCCTGATAACAATTGGGTTTGCACTGACCCACGTTTGGGGTATAGTGAAGGAATTGCTGCTGAGCACAATTTCTGTTTCTCCTTTTATTCTTTACTTGCTGTACCCGTTGCAGATTCGCTTGCAACCAAACAACAACAAAATTACATTTGTAACGCACCTTTCACGTCGGAAGGATGTCCCAAGGCGCTGGACAGACAGAGTTATGGACCCAAGCTGGGGGTTGGGAAGGTGGGGGGCAGGGGGGAAGCATGGTGATTGAAAGCACAGTCGAAGAGGAGGGTTTTGAGATGGTTCTTGAAGGTGGCAAGGGAGGGGGCAACGCGGAGGGACTGCGGGATGGAGTTCCAGAGGGTGGGGGCCAGTGGCAGAAGGCCCACCTGCCAATAGTTGGACAAGCAAAGTGGGGTGAAGCAGGCCAGAGCCCATCGAGCGGAGGGAGCCAACAGGATGTAGGAGGTTAGGAGGTCGGAGAGGTAGGGGGTAGCAAGACCATGGAGGACTTTGAAGGTGAGTACCAGGATCTTGAACTGTATCCTCTGTGTGATGGGAAGCCAGTGGAGTTGGACAAGGATGAGGGTGATTGGGTCACAGAGCCTAGTGCAAGAGAGGACATGGGCTACAGTGTTCTGGATGATCTGCAACCTGTGGAGGGAGGAGTTGTGGGAGGCCAACAAGCAATGAGTTTGCATAGTTGAGCCTCGATGTAATGAAAGCATGTATGAGGGTTTCGGCGGCCTGAGATGTGAGACAGTGACAGAGCCGGGCAACGTTGTGGACATGGGGGAAGGCAGAGCGGGTCATGGTGCAGATGTGGGGTAGTAAGGATAGTTGAGGGTCAAACAAGACCCCAAGGTTCCGGATTGGCTTAGCAAGGTGGAGTGTGCAACCATGGACGGTGATGCTGTCAGCGCCTGAGGTGAGGAGGCGCTGACGGGAGCCAATCAGGAGAGCCTCGGTCTTGTTGATGTTCAACTGAAGAAAGTTAGCTCTCATCCAGGACTTGGTGTCTGACAGACATTCTGTCAGGACACCAATGATCCTGGAGTCAAGGGGAAGAGTTGGGTGTCATCCGCGTAGAAGTTGACCCCATGTCTGTGGATGATGTCACCAAGCGGGAGCATATAGATTTTGAAGAGGAGGCGACCAAGGACAGAGCCCTGAGGAACACTGCACGAGACAGTCTGGGGGCTAGAGGAGAAGCTGTAGGTGGAGATGAAGTGCAGGCGGTGTGAGAGGTACGATCTGAGCCAGTCAAGGACTGAGGTTGAGGAGGTTGAGGTGAGAGGAGAGGCGGTGGATGAGGATAGAGTGGTCGACAGTGCCAAAGCAGGAGAGAGGTCAAAGAGGACGAGGAGGCAGAGGGAGCCCTGGTCGCAGATGGACACAAAATCATTTGTCACTGTGACCAGGGCTGTTTCTGTGCTGTGAGCGGCATGGAAACCCGATTGGAGGGGTTCGAGAAAGGAGTGGCGGGAGAGGAAGGAGCGAAGCTGAGAAGCAACAACTCGTTCCAGGACCTTGGAGAGGAAAGGGAGGTTGGAGATGGGATTGTAGCTGGGGAGTAGAGAAGGATCCAGGGTGGGTTTTTTAAGGATAGGAGTGATGACAGTTGTTTTTAAAGGGGTGGGAACATTACCAGAGGATAGGGAGAGGTTAATGATGTCAGTGAGTAGAGGGGCAAGGAGGTGGAGCTGGGAGGTAAGGCGAGGGTTAGGGATGGGGTCGAGGGTGTAGGTGGTAGGTTTCATACGGGTTATGGTGGTGATGAGAGAGGAGGGGGAGATAGGTTGAAAGGTGTGGTGGAAGCGATGGGTAGGCATCGGGGTGGGAGGAGGAGATGGGGAGGGGATAGCAGATGCAGTGGCAGTGGATTCCCTCAACTTTGGATTCAAGGAAGTCCAGCATCGCCTTACAGTTGGCATTTGAGGTGAGGATGGGCGAGACATGAGAGGGTGGGTGGAGGAGCCGGTTCATGATGGAGAAGAGAAGCCGGTGTTGTCCTTAGCCTCCAAGATTGTTTTGGAGTAGAACAACAATTTAGCAAAGGATCCAATATGGAGTGTAGATTGACACACAGACAGACATTTCGTCTTTATCTATACTCATCTGGGAGGACTCCTGTGGGAGGACTCAGTGAGAGGACTCGGGGCTTTAAAAATGTAATTTTGTGGTTGTTGCTGTGGATTAGCTTCGTCTATGTCCTTTATTTTGTTTGCACCGCTTGGCTACGTGCCTGCTCTGTGATGCAGGATGCCACAGCGCCGCGGCCACCAGGTGTAACTGCAGTGCGTGCTTACATACATAGGTGCTCTGTGATGCGCGGCCACCAAGTGTCACTACGCAAAACTGAAAATAACTAACGAACGATAGGAGATACCTGAAAACTAATATGCCCATGTCACTCCCAGTTACAAGACCTTTCCGATGAGGTATAAATCATGTCTCTGCGTCAATCGTTTACTGAGATCCTTCTTGAAGCGCAGACAGACATTGTCGTTTTATTAGTATAGAAGAAGATTAATTCAGGCTCTGTATATAAATAAGAATTGCAATCTTCCTCCATGCAAATTCTGGGAGAGAGGAGAGAGGCGGCTGTACTTTGGAGGATTGCCCAATAAGAAGTTCTACCAGTGTTCTGTTATTTTTCATGTGTTTTTACCTCCATCTATTTTCACCCAATTTGTAGAAATTCAGTGAGGGTGTGAGCAGGTAACATCATGTCCATTTGAAACCAAGAAGAGAGAAGGGACTCCTGTCTGTTTTCCCATCATGCCATCTAGATATGGCATTCGGTTACATTTTAGAAACTTCTGCTCAGGTCATGCTTTCTGACCAGTTGGCCTGCCGTATTTTTTTTAGAAATGGAGCTATCCAAAAGATACAATAACAATTTACATTTATGTAGCACCCTTCATGTTAGGAAGACTTCTCAAAGTGCTCTATAAAACCTGACTGGAAGCCTCCTCAGCTGGTGTGTGTGGGGGGGGTGGATGGTGTGAGAGAGAGAGCTGAGGATAGTAGAAGGTTCAAAATCACGGTTGATAAGATACGTCTAAAGGCAAGTTTTGAAGGCAAGAAAGGGGTCAAGGCTGAGGGACTCCAGAATATGGTTGCAGAGAACAGGGAAAGCTCACCTAATAATGGCAGATTGAGCGGGGGGCATGAAACAAGCTGAGCAGGCTGTTTTGCTGAACTGAGGGAGTGGTCCAGGTCCTTGGGTTGCAGGAGGTTACAGAGGTGGGGTGGAGGAACGCCTCATTGACATTGTTCAAAAACTAACTGTTGCTGAGTGTTTGTGGCAGGGTGACTGAAATGTTGAACCTTTTATTTGACAGTTCACTCCTACTTATAGTTTGAATCTTAATAAATTGATCAGAAGCATTTGAACCTATAAGCGCAAACCTACATGAGTGAGTGCTCTCATGCGAGGCAAGAAACCACGTTTGTGCTCCAGCAGTTTGATGGTATTCAACATGATGGGATCTGATGCTTTTTCAGTCTCGATAGTTATGCAACTAATTCTATACAGTGGCCATGTTTAAGCATTACTTGGGAAAAATGCATAGTGTTTTTTGTTTAACAAAAAGTCTGTGGTAATAACCTTTTGAATCCAAAAAACAACTGAATGACTCCAACAGGTTTTTTAAAAAATATTTTAACGAAATACAAAGCTTATAATCATTTCACTTCAGCCCCTACAGCCCCATGTGCGAGTGTGGGATTCAGTCAGTTTGCAAACATTACAGATAATTGGTCTTGGAACATTTGAAAGAGGAGTTGGTTCTTTGGCCTTCTCAAAAGCTGTAAGTATTAAAACTGCTTTGTATTTGATAATTTATCACAGTACGTTTTTCATTTTTATTACCAATGCCAAGTACCTTGGGCCCTAAGGTGATTTTGTTTTGAATATTTGCTGACTTGAAAAGAAAACTTAGGGGTGTTCCCAAAGAACTCAATCTTTTGAAGTGTGCCTGCACTGACATTTATTTTTGCCATTGCGGAAAAGGTCATTTGGTGCTGAGAAAGTAATAATAGTGATAGATTTATCTGATAATTGCACATACCTTGGCCTATACTTAAAAATATGGGCTATTTTGTCTCTAAATGTATGTTGGAAAGATGTATCGGCGGTGCCAAATTTTGCTATTTCTGTCTTGCATATCCAGACTTGACTCACTTTGAAAATCGCTGCAAGCTGAATTCTGAGGCATTTTTATTTGCCTGCCCAAGCTTTGGTTCCTTATTTATTTTGAAAAGATGCTCTATGCGTTCCAAAGCAGAAACTTGCGATTGTGCAACGGCCCCTTACGGTAGGGCACTTTCAGTAACACAAAGGAGAAAAGGATGTCTGGTAGCAAACAACAAAGGTTGCCTTGTTGCCCTGCCAATTTTTTCTCAGTTTCAGGGAATGTGCAGCTTTAGCAGAATGTACCTGAGATGTGCCTCTTTATATGGGTGACCCACTAAGTAAGTACATTGCATTGAGCTGTGCAAAGTTCAGCCCAAGCAGGTTCAGTGAAAATTGAGAGCCTCCCAAATTTACTTCTAGAGTCTGTCTGTAGTTAAGTTTCACATGTTGTTTCTTAACCTTTTTGGTACTCCAAAAATAAGTACGTTTCAGTGTGGTATTGATTTACTGCAGTGAGGCACAATAGGAACCCTCTCAATTGTAGCAAACTTATTTAGACGTATTGTTCTTTCATTACTTTTTTTGGTTTGATCATACTATGTGAACCAACTGTGAAACTAATATTCATAATGTCATCAACCTATATTGAACCTAAGAACCGTGGTGATAAATTTGGCTCAAAATTCATCAACATGTACAGAAACTAATTCTAAGACTTCTAAAGTTGGTAACTGAAAGAAAAATCCACCTCGAATTCAGCTTAAATGCATCTGGTTCTGCTCATCTTTGTTGTTCTGCTGATTGTTGCCTGATTTGCAAATACCCAGCTACAGTCATCAAACAAGAATATTTTGCATACTATGAATTAAAACCTCAAAATCTGGCTTGAAACTTGAGGGATGTCTGAGTGGCACAATCTATACTACTTTGGTGAGAATTAGTTGACAATAACATTGAAGAAAGACCATCTTGGCACGAAGGAGGAATGAACAATTGTGACTGACTTTGCAAACTTTCTTAGGATTTTGAAACATTTCTTCACATGAGACTGATTATGATTCATATGAACAATGGAAAAATGTGTCCTTTGAAATGAAAACTAATGCAATGCAGCTCTAATTAAGCACTCCCACACACTAACAGTGTGAAGGTTATGCAAGTTGTTATCAATTTCATACTTGGCAAAGTTGGATGGTTAGATCAGTCAAATCAAACCCATCACTCTACACCTAAATATACAAACATTTAATTTACTTTTTGCATTGAAACACATGTTTACAGTGATGTTGCATGTGTTTTAAACACCCCAGGATTCAGGTACCCATTTGTGTGTAGTGGATGACTCCAATGAACATATGCTGACTGTGTGGGAGTGGCAAAGGAAATCCAAAATTGCTGAAATAAAGGTAAGCATATCACTTGTACAGCAGGAATTTATTTCAAGGAGGTTGCATTTTATTCACTGCTGATGTTCCAGTTAGTTGGACAACATTTTAAATTAAAAATGTCATTAAACAATTAAACAAACAAATATAGTATTTGTGTTTGTGGAGTATTGTGTTTGCTTTACTCCATTTTTATTGCAAATCAAATATTTATTGCAAAGCTTTTCTGTTGTATTTTGACAGAGTACCAATGAGGCTGTGCTTGCGGCTGATTTCCACCCTACAGACCCCAATGCCATAGTCACTTGTGGCAAGTCACACGTCTTTTTCTGGACATGGAATGGGAACTCACTGGCTAGAAAACAAGGAATATTTGGGGTACGTTTGGTACATCACAAATAGTCTATATGGGTAGTAAGCTGCAAATGTACTTTTTAATCGACAACTACGACTGTTCTAAAAGTACTTGAGTAAATTGTTAATACTGATTTTCTGAAGAACAAAATGCCAGTTGTTCTTCATTAGCAGCATAACAAAAGTAGCAGCAACTTGGATTTACATAGCGCCTCCACGCCAGATGGCGCCTCAGAGCGCTTCATTCAAAGCATTCAAATAATGTATTTTAAAGTTATATAATTAGCTGGTTGTTTTTTCATTTGGAAGGAAAAATGCAAAAGTAATGTTGATCTCTTAGCAGTTTGCCACCCACGCAGATCAAACGTTTCTTGAAATTGGTCTTGTGGGCTTCTGAACTGAACAATGCATACGCCCTTCTATTGTTCTGTGCATTACAGAAGCTAAGCTTCATGCTATATTTTCAAACGTTATTAAAGAGCTGGTTGTACAATCGCCTTTGTAATATCGGACATTGAGTGGATCACCAAAGCTTTGCAGTGAGTCTGCTGTGCACTACACTTCAACCATCTATCCAGGTTATGTAAAGCATGCAGCATGATTCACACTGGCTCAGTACCAGAGAGGTTTAGTATCAATGCAGCTTTAGATGTAAGAAGGCAGTCCTGGCAGTCACTCAATTTGATGAAAAGCGTAGTGCAACAAATATGTACTATCATGAATCCTTTGGAAGTTGGTATAGTAGGTATAAGTGTTCTGAGATGTCGCCTGGCGTAGAGGGCGTTATATAAGTACAAGATGTTGCTGTTGTTATTTGGTATGTTTTCAGTGTAGTGGATCTCAAACCATCAGTCGGCCATAGAATTTCTGCCAGTGGCAAATTATTTCCTCTTTTGCTGAGAGTATATTGGGCTCCTGACTGTATGATGAGAGATATTCAAATGGCTGACAATTGAGTGTCATTCAAAGTGTAGCCCCAGTATTTTCAGCTTCTGGTTGCTACCCTTCAGTCACTGCCAGCAGCCTGGACTGAGAGAAGAGACATTTCAACATCAGTAGGAAGTTCAGGCAGAGGCCTGAAGTATGCTGCCTCTCATTACCCTATTGGACCCACAGTGTTAACAAAGCTTTGGACTTCAGTGAATAGCAACTGTCGAGTATTTAAAGCTACCGAGAACCATTTAATAATGAAATCATTAGGAATCCTGACGAACCTTTCCTGGCCAGCCATTAGACTTCATTGAATGTAGCAATGTTCGCTTGTAGCGTGATCTAATGGAGGTTGAATAGTAGCAGGCAGAAGCTGTCAAACATGAGCTGCAGCAAGTCATCCAATTGTGGGTGTGCTCCTGCCAATCTTCCACTACCATTTCTGCCCTCAATTTCTCTTGGCCAAAAGCTTTCAAATTTGGCTAATGAAGGTTAGCAAGTTTGACATCTGTCAAAGTTATGATTTGTCATATAATGCTATAAAACATTTTGTTTTTCCAGGTGGATGCTGATAACATTGGTATTTTAAATGGAGTTCAATGTTGTAATGCTTTCCATACACTTTATATATAATTTGGGATTTTTGCTGTAAAAACGTTGATAATGTAAGGTCTGTGAGTAATCATGAATTTCTGTATGGCCTTAAAGTTGAAATAAGACGAACAATTGGAGAAGGGAAATTCTCAATGTGAACATTCATCTTATCTTGAAAGAATCGTTTCTTCCACCACATTTTCTAAATTGCTTTTTTATATATATACTTCTTTCAGAAATATGAAAAACCAAAATTTGTGCAGTGTTTAGCATTCCTAGAAAATGGTGATGTCCTCACGGGAGATTCTGGTGGAATTATGCTTATATGGGCAAGAACAACTGTGGAATCCACACAGGGGAAAGGACCCAAAGGTATATGCAAAATGTAAAAGCATGACGTTCAAAGTTAGTAATTGCAATCATTAATTATTAATTACTGTTATTTGTCATACCTGCCTTAGGGCGCATCCAATGGTAAAAGTTTTATTTTCAAAGGAAGGGATTTATAGGGCGTTCGGTAAATAGTTTAGGTTTGTGCAAATTATCAGTTAAAATAGGGTTTGCTGAATGTTATTTTTAAATGTTTTAATAACTAAATCTGCCTATTAAGTTATTGCCTAAAAGTAGTTTGTATTCCTTAAGATTATATTCTGACGCAGTTTGGCAATACGCAGACAGCACAAACCGTTGAGACTTGTTCATTAAAGCTTACTGAATTGGTAGTTCTCACGACAGCAGCAAAAAGTGTAAACTGATAGATTTCTTGCTGAGCTATACGCTCACCAGGAATCTTGCAGGGAGTTCCAAGTAACTTCCATTCATCTCACAACAACTCAAACCTGCATCGCAAATGACGTGAGCAACTGGTGAATATCTGAGGTGGGGGGGGGGATGGCAGAGATAAGCTGGTCTACTTGGAGCTGAACTGACTACGAAGTGACATGCTTGGCAATAGAATATCGGAATCAAATTGATCCTCTGCAGCGATCTCGGGAGTCCAGTTCCTGTCAGGCAAGTCCTCAGTTCTCCAGGGCACTGTTCACAACAGGCTCCCGAGAAGGACTTGGAGGGCAGACCTGTCACTAGAAGCATGGATTTTTCCCACTCCAATCTTCCCCTGCTAATCTTACAAGCCAAAGCCCTAACAGGTAGGGTGGCCCAAGCTGGGCAAGCAGTGGGAGGCTTTGCAGACTACTTTCGGTAGCAAGCTATGCGGTTTTAGCTAGTGAAACTTCCAACAGTATTTCAGTGCACATGGTGGAGCCTTGGGTTTCAGTCACAGGTAAATTTCCATGTGTGGAGGTATGTGTATGTGGAATCTATCTCTTCTTTCTGTCGACTATTCTAGGTGAAATGAAATGTCACTTTTTCATGGCTGTTTGTGGGACATTACTGTGTGAAATTGTGTTGCCGCGCTGGCCTACAAAATACAGTCTCTCCATTTCACAATAATTCCTGTGAAACGTTTTGAGACGTCCTTCCGACATGATAAGGCGCTTATACCAAAATGCAAGGATTATTAATTTTATTATTATAAATGAATTTGAGCTGATTCACTGTCTGAATTGGTAGCACTCTTGCCAAGGTCCTATTTGCTGTAGGTGGATATTAAAGAGGAGTTTCTCCTGGTGTCCTGGCCGACATTCCCCCAGATAAAATTGGTCATTCACTTCATTGATTGCTTGTGGGACATTGCTGTTCTCAAATTGACTGCCCCATTTGTCTATGAAATACAGTCAATCCTGTGAAGCACCTTAACATGTCCTCCCAACATGAAAGGCACTTTATCATACGTAAAGATGATTCGGAAGCATAGTATTGGCTCTATTTCAGCAAATATTGGCACTTATGTTACCAAACAGACTACACAAATGGTCTAATAAGTAGGAGATGGAAATAATAATATTAATCCTTGCACTTGATAGTGTGCTTTTCACTTCAGCCGGATGTCTCAAAGTGCAGCACACGATTTACTGGAAAATGTAGTGAATTTATTTTGTAACTGAACATGTGTTCCATGCTGATGTGGTAATGTTATGGTTGAGGCACTTTGTTGGGCCCTTTGTTAACCTGCATTGTACCTGACAGTGTTTGAGTTGATACTCATTTGGAGGTACAAACGTTGGAAATGTATACATGTACGTATTACATACATATACATATAATATGTGTGTGTGTATATATGTTTTTTCTGTTAGGCTAGCTTTTTTTTTGAAGAGCTCAAAATACGAAAACTTAAAAACTGCAACGTTTTAAAAATAAGATACAGAAAAATAACAGCAAATAATCTTGTGCTTGATGTCGTGTTCATCATGGTATATGACTATTGGGAGGTTTGTACATTCATTTCAGAAGTGTAATTAATGGTGTTGCTGTGTAATGTATCACTTGAAAAAACAGCTGAAATCACTTTGAAAAAAAATGTGCCAAATTTAATCTCTGAATTATTTTTGGTTTTGAAAAAATCATTGCCGTCGGTGGTTTAGGTGTGAGTCAACATGAAGGCATGTATCTGTATAATTTTGAACTAAAGGTTCTCAATAATATTTTGGTTCTTTTCATTGCTTAGGAGTATATCAGATCAGCAAGCAGATTAAAGCACACGATGGCAGTGTATTTACTCTTTGTCAGATGAGGAATGGAATGCTGCTTACAGGGGGCGGAAAAGATCGTAAAATCATCCTGTGGGATCACGATCTCAATCCAGAAAGAGAAATTGAGGTAATCTTGTTGCTATGCACCCTTGCATTTTTATAGAGACATAATGTACTTTCGAAAGTGCTGCTATACACAATATTTGAAAGAGCACTATCGTGAAAAGTACTTGTACACATCAAAATTAATTATACAGCCAATGTTAAATTTTATTAAGTACATTGGAAGGAGTTTTTTTGTTTTCAAGACTCCCTTGCGTTCAATAAAATTGCACAACCTTAGCTGGTCTAAAGGCTGTGTGTTTGCAATCTGGGGGAAGAAAAACCTTCTCACAAATGATGTAATATTTTTATAGATTGGCTTCTGCTTCCTTTCCATCTAGACAGAGGATACAATGCAAAGTTACATTTGTTTAGTGCCTTTCATGTTGGGAGAATGTTTCAAAGCGCTGGATGGGTTAAACTTCATCAATTTATCTGGTTGCTATTTTTGGCTGGAAAATCGTATGGGTTTTCAAATGGGTTTTTGAATATTTAATTCAAAACTTTTATTGCAGAAGACGAAAGGTTTAGAAAGTATTCAAGGTTGTAACCTGTTGAGTTTATTTGAATGTTGCAGTACTAGTGGGCTGCCACTAGATGGTGATGTACCATTTTTAGATCAACAGTGTCGAGTGAAAAAATTCAATGTTGCAACAATTGTAAATTACATTGGCATAAGAATCAGCTATCAACATTGGGCAAATCCTTGCCATCAGTGGTTTAGGTGTGAGTCAATTTGAAGACGTGTATCCTATTTTCCCTCAATCTTTTAATTAAACGAAGACCAGCTCTAAGAGCCTCTCTTTAGAACTAAATTGCTATGCAGTAGTAAGTAACTTTCAAAGTAGCTCAGCATCTTTAATTGCCTTTACTTTTTGTGTTGATCCAGGTTCCTGATCAGTTTGGAGCCATACGAGCAGTGGCTGAGGGGAAGGGAGATCAGTTTCTGATAGGCACATCACGCAACTTCATTTTGAGAGGAACCTTTAACGATGGCTTCCAAGTGGAGGTTCAGGTGAGTAACAGCTTTACTTTTACATTGGTCAAATTTCATTCAATTAATTGCTCTTTTGTTACAGGAACAATGAGTAGGTCTGATGCACGGAACAGTATTATATGACATTCTTAAAATAAGAAAGTGAAAAGGGAAATGTGTCCCTCAATAAAGAATATTAATTGTTACACAACATTTTGTTTTAAATTTCCCTGCGGTACCCAAAAACGACTGCGGAAAATCAGCTTCCAAATTTAGAATGAATTTACAATTGTTTCTGAAATTCCACCTGATCCTGGTTTAAAAATGAAACAGGTTATATCTTTGGAGTCTAAAGAGACATAGAAACATAGAAACAGGAGTAGGCCATTCGGTCTCTCGAGCATGTTCCGCCATTCTGTAAGATCATAGCCTGTACCATGTTTATGTATGTTGTTTCCTGCATTGCGAAATGTAGACAGGTTACATTTGTTTAATAAAATTTAAGAAATCTTGACTATGAATGAAGCTGGCACAGTTTGTATGATTGTAATGGATGTGGTTTGTTTTTCTTGTGGCAGGGTCACACAGAAGAACTCTGGGGTTTGGCTACACATCCTTCCAAGGACCTTTTCCTGAGCTGTGCCCAGGATCGTCAAGTTTGCTTGTGGAACTCTGTCGACCACACCCTGGAATGGAGCAAAATCTTAGATGTAATTATTATCCAACCTTTACAGCTTTTACTTATGACAGGGGGTGTGCAACACTTTTCTTTTTTAAAAAAAACTTCCACCCACAACTGTTTACACCACAAACCAAACAGAGTAGTAAGCCAGAATTCTGGGGATTTACAACTTTAGAAGAAAAGATAAAAAGGTTTTATGATTTTTATGACCACCAAGGTTATGCACATAAAACATGTTGGAATCAGAAATAATCCCTTTGTCCACACATGATGTATTTTATAACTCAAAATTGACTGCATTGAGCAATTCCAGGTTCCATGGCCCTGGAAGTTTCGTTTGGGAGGGAATGTAAAATTGAATACTGCATAGTATTTCAAAATATTTATTTGGTTTCTTTTAGGAACCAGGCCATTGTGCTGATTTCCATCCCAGTGGTGTTGTGGTGGCTATAGGAACACATACGGGCAGGTAATCTTATTTGTTAATTTTATTTCTGGTCAACTGATGTCTTATGTTGTCCTCTTGTCTTCCCGTGATCACACAAAAGTTCTCCCAACCCTAAAGAAGCACTGAAACAGTAAGCAGGTAAGCAGGAGCGAAAAGCCAGATTAAACAAAACTACACTATTTATAGTGGGGAAATTCTGGGTTATTTTAGCTCCTGTTTGCTACTATAAGTGAAGTATAAAATAGCTTGCTTTATCAAAGGAATTGTATGTGCAATAAAATGTACGTCCTCCTGACGTGAAAAGCGCTATATCAAATGCAAGGATTATTATTATTATTATTACTTAGGTGTATAAATGTTGAATTCTGAGATACTATTTCTAATAAGCTGCCAATTACATTCTACAATAAAAAGTTATTGGGGTCTGACTTGGAGTGTTTCTCAACTGGATTCCTTAAATAATTCCGTTAAAATTCCTGTTGACTCACTCACTGTAAGTCCACTCTGGAAGTAGATTGTGTTAAACGTGGAGTCACTGTGAAATGTATCTGGTTACTTGAAGCAGCCGTTTGTTCGGAAATCTTAGATGTAATTATTAGCTCCAGCCTGCTTCACATCCCCTACCATTGGTGGGTGGGCCTTCAGCCTCTCTGCCCCCAACCTTCTGGAACTCCATCCCATAGTCCCTCTACCTCTCCCCCTGCCTAGCCTCCTTGAAGACCTGTCTCAAGACCCTCCTTTTCGACTATGCTACCCCTACCCTCCCTGCCCTCCACCCCTCCTGATCCCAACCACCAACTCGGGTGTAGATCCCTGCTTGTTCAGTGCCTTGGGACTGTCCTCCTGATGTGAAAGCCTCTGTACAGATGTAATTGTTGTTGTTAATTGTTAAATATATTATACAAGACAATGTAATAGTACAACTTTCCCCTTTAATGCTAGTCGGAAAACATTTTAGATAATGGGCAATTTTGGAAAACTGTTTATTAATCTACTGGTAAGAGAAGCTATGTATTGTTACGGCGAGAAGGAACAACTGAATATAACGGCACTTCCTCAATAATATTTCTGTTTCTTAGTTCTAACAGGAAGGAAAGCTGGTACTTGGATTATTGTTTCATTGTCTTTGACTTTATTTTAAATCTTTGACCAGGAACAGGAATAAAGGTTAAATATTTGCTCATAGCAAAACAATCTTGTTATTCCTTTGTGTGATAAATTGTGGGATGTGGGAAACAAGCATCTGATAGGCAGGAAGCCACAGCGAACATCAATTGCAGGATAATGCAGCAAAATAAGTTATTGTGTGGTTTGGCATTTGTGATTGTGACAATATAGATCGCAGAATTCTTATATCATGGTGAGTGATTCATTTTGTGGTTTGGGTGGTGCACCAGCATCAAAAATATGTTTCCTGATTTTGGCAGTTCTGAAAGCTGAAAGGAGCTCTGCCGGCTCTCAATCTATTGAGTATTTTCAGGCTTGATATCTACCTACATAAAACATAGTATTTCAGAATGGTGTCTAATATGCACCAATCTCCAACTGGATTTCTTTATAAGGAAGCAGAGCTCCCACAAGTTGGCTTAATGTACTTCCTGGTACAGGAAGGAATCTCCACTCGGAGTTTAATGGAATCGCCAAGTGGGGACTTCTTCCGGAAACCAAAGTACGCCAAGTTGGTTCACGGGAACTCTGTTCCAAAAGTAGATAAAAAATATGCATTACATTTCAAAAATGTGTATTACTATATTGTGTGAATGGTAGCATCCAACTACACAGTGCGATGATAAGCAAAGCTCACTGGGATCTTCCACTAATCTTGATTAAATGCACAAGAGGTAAATTAAATTTTGGGGTTTTAACATAATGATCTGTACCCCATAAGGACGAGATATTACTTCACCTTCCTGCGCCTTTGGAAGTGAGCCTAATGGTTGGCCTTTTAGTTACAGACCTGACTGATTGTCTGTCAGACATTACTTGAGAGTCTGTCGCCCACACACTTTACTTCTAATATTTTCCATTATTTTGGTTAATTAAAATATAAATATGTTCCTGTGTGCAGGGCAAATCAATAGAAGTGTATTGCACAAATGTTGAGCTAATGAAATCTCTATTGACCTTCCCGTCCGTGATATGCGTTCTCACCAAGGTTTCAAACTAGGTTAAGAATTCAAAACCCAGATGCTCCAGCTGCCAGGCAAGAGGGTAAAAATGTGAAAATGTGGAAACTAGATGCTTGTTTTCAAAATACATTTCTTTTATAATCCTATCAGTATCTGAGCACTTGGATGCAAAACAGGTTTTAGTTTGGCTTTTTTTTAAAAGAAAAAACTTTTAATCTGTCCTTGCTTTAATGGCTTTAATCTAAAACCCCTCAGGCTTGCATTTATTCCCACTGTGTGTTTTTCAAAAAAGGCTGTACGTGAAGAATAAATTCCATAACTTTAGTAAACTATTAAGGCTTTCGCTTTTTCCAGGCAACCCTTTATTGAAACACTGCTTTATTGTTTCATCTGTACCCTTATAAATACAGGTTGTGAGTTTTGTGGTTGGAGCCAAGATCAACACTGAGCTCCTTTATACTGATGCAGATTTTTATATGCAATCAATGGAAAGTGGTGATCGTCAGCATGTGCCTCTACACAACCACTCTCTCTATTCAAGGCAATGGCTTGTCCGCCTTATTTGGTTCTAACACGCTGCTTGGCTGACTTTCAAACGGCATGTTCTGTTCTTAAACCAAAGGTTATTCACACAGTCGAAAAAGCATGAGGTAGACATCTCTTTGCACTTTCAGGCATGGCTTCTGTTACTCATGTACCAAAAGTGCCAAAATAAATTGTAGCATGAACAGATAAGTATGGGAAAATGTGAATTGGGAATTGCATTTCAATTTAAAACAGGAAAAACAAATTCTGGCAGATGAATGGATTTTAAAGATGTGTCAATGTAAACCTAATACTAGTTGTTGATGCATTCTGCAATGCAACCTGAGAATGACTTGCTCAGTAATGGCTTGGATTGAATTAATCTCCTCTTTTTGTGTGACAGGTGGTTTGTTCTTGATGCTGAGACAAAAGACCTGGTTTCAATACATACTGATGGAAATGAGCAGCTGTCAGTGATGCGGTACTCTCCAGGTAATGCTTCATTATGTTTGGTATGTTTAAATAGGTGTCAACTTGCAACATAGTGAACAGCACAATTATTGGAAATTCGATTTTAAAAAAAGTAATTAACACAGCTTCTCTTGCCGAAAAGGTATCATTTGTAAAATCGTTCCCCAAACCACTGGATAGGTCAGTAATGGTGAATCTTTTTGAACTATGAAGAATAAAAGTAAACTGGACAAAATCCAAGGCACTTATTTCCTCTGATCAATCAGAAGTGATGTGATTTCCCTATTATAAGCACAGACTGGGAAGGTTGCCTCATGCACGTCCCTCGTCTCCCCTGCTCCAGCATCAGCTGCCATGCCTTCAGCCACTGTGCTCCAGAACACTCAGCCTCAATCCCTCCGCCTTTCCCCGTCTGTCTTCAGATCGCACCTGAAGGCCTTCCTCTTCGCTCGTGCCTACGGTCATCTCGCCTCTCTCCCTGCTTGGTGTCAAGCTCTGCTACTATTAAGTGCTACGAGATGCTACCCCGCATAAAGGGCGCTATATAAATGTTTTGGGAATTGGAACCTGCTAACCATTTGGTAACATAACTGACCAGCAGGATTTTTTTCCTCGACATCTCACATCATAAACTGCCACACAAATAGCCAAGGAAGGAGAGAAAGTGGACCAATTGGTTTAAAAAAAACTTGTGTTGAACTGAACGCGTGAAGTACGTGATAGAAATAGGATGCTTGGTCTGCTTGTGGGCTGAATTCAATGCTTCTGTTTGTTCACCCAATAATACAGTAACAGCAGATGTTGTCAGAAGGCATTCTGTAGTGTGCTAATCTGACAGCAAGGAATATGATGGTTTGCTTTTCAACCATTTTGCTCAGACACCAGAGAAAAAAAAACATCCAGTTATCTGAACAGATTTCTTGAACCAACGGTGGTTGGACAAATCCTATTGCTCCTTTATTGTAAGGCATTGCACACAACAACTATTTGACCATTGCCAAGAAGCTTCTCTGTGATGAGAAAAACAGTTATCAGGTTCTAATTCCCATTTAAATTAATAGAATTGTTTTGTGGATTTCATACTGAGTCACAAATGTGCGGGTTTCACACTGAGATTCGAATAGACCAGCAATAAAAAAATGCGAATGTTGGAAATATGAAATAAAACCAGAAATGGTGAAAAAATGCACATCTGGTCTCTTAAAAGAGAAACGTAGGTTAGATTGGAGACTCTTAGAACCGAGCCTATATGTAGGAGAAGAGGGGTCACATTAAGAAAAAGGCAATTATAATAATTTTTATATAAAAAAAATGTTATTGAGAGGAAGCAATTAAGCCATTAATGGGAGGTTTTAGGAAAAAAAACAGATGATCTCAGTAGGATGATGTAAACTTCCAATATATTTCAGTAAAAGAAAAAGAAAGGGGCAGTAAATGGGCTTTGATGACAGAGTGATCCGTCAGAAAGTGCCCTGGCATAGGTCTGCATTATACCATATACTGTGGGCCCACACTATAGCGGAAGGGCAGTACATAGCTAGTGCTGACCGACCTGCTTCCTACTCGTAGAAGGCATTAATACTATGTGCAGGAAGTACCGTTGAATTTACTTCACAGCGGAAGTGACATCAGCGGCAACCTGACTACCCTGTAAGCGTTGACCAGCAGCTGTTCTTTTGCAGGACTCCTTATAACACGGGATCCGAAATTTATGGGTCTAAACCACCACATTATAACTGGGTCGGTCATCTATACTAATAAAGACGTAATGTCTGTGTGTCTGTCTGTCTGTCCGTCCATCCGTCCGCCAAGAACTCAATAACCGATTGACGTAGAGACATGATTTGTACCTCATCGTAAAGGTCTTGCATGGGGGAGTGTCATAGGCATATTTTGTTGGGGGTATCTCTCCACCAAAAATAACATCACACATGTATAGCAGTTATATGTACACTGAAGTTACACCTGGTGGCTGCACTGACTCCCAGTGGCACTATGGCACGCAGCCAGCATGCACTCAGACGAAGCAAAGTGGCGTGAACAAGATGGCGGTGGTGAGGTAGAAGTTGCCTTGAGCATTGTTGTCGGCAGCCGTTTGGCTGCTTTTGACGCCATGTTGGTGTTTGGCGGGTGATGGTTGGCTCAGTAAGGCCACAGGGTTTCCGGGTTCCTCCGTGCTGCAGCTTAGCAGCGAATAACCCAGGAGGGTGAAGCCTGGGGCTCAAGTTGGGGCCTCACCCAGGGCTGAGGTTTAGTCCCTCCCCTTATGTATATAATTATATATAATAATTTATCTATACTAATAAAGATGAAATGTCTGTCTGTGTGTGTCCGCCCACCAATAACGCATTAACCGATTGACGTAGAGACATGATTAATACCTCATCGGAAAGGTCTTGCATGGGGGAATGTCATTGGCATATGTTTTAGGGGGTATATTCTATCATTGATGAGCTATGGCTTAAACAAGCTTATCACATATGTATAGCAGTTTTGCTTCAGATGTGCATGCAGGCTTTATGGCATGTAAAATGATTTGTGAATCGTATCTCTGAAAACACCAGTTAGTCAGTATTTACAATCGTTTTGCTTAAGGTGTACACACAGTGTTTGTGGCATGTTAAATGGGTTGTGAGTGGTATCACTGAAATCTACATTCCAAATTGGATCCTTTGGTTGCAAGTGTAGCTGCAAAGGGTACAGCTTGTCTTATATAACAGCTGTACCCATTGCAGCTATGCTTGCAACCAGTTTAATTTAATCCTCCTGTCTTTCGTCTGACATTTTTATTTGCACTTGAAAGGCTTGATCTTTGCTTCTTAGGCATCTTAATCCCTTAAGATTAAGAAAATGTGCTATTGAACTTGTTAGCATCCCTTGTTCACATATTTGCACACATGTCCTTTTTGGAGAACTCCTGTTGGGAGGATTCAGTGGTAGGACTCCTGTTGGGAAGACTCCTATGGGAGGATGCCTGGTTGGAAGGACTCCTGACACACAAACAGACATTTTGTCTTTATTAGTATAGAAGATGTATCTCTCTGGAAAGGTATGTGACCTTGTATGCTACTTTGTTGCAGAATACCATGCTCGTTTTTTGAGTCTTAAATAAAGCTGTTTAAAAATATATTTTTTAATATAGCTCATCAACGATAGGAGATTCCCAAAAATAATTATGCCTACGATGCTCCCCTATGCAAGATCTTTCCGATGAGGTATAAATCATGCCTCTACGTCAATCAGTTATTGTGTTCTTGGGAGACAGACAAACATTTTGTCTTTATTAGTACAGAAGATACAGGAATATGAGTGAGACAGCAGATTTGGGTATAATCAGGGCTTCAGCTTTTCCTGCTAATTTCCTTTCCCTCAAAAATACACAAACCTTGAATGCCTTGAAATCACAAACCTTCTGGTATACTTAAGATCTGACTAAACTAATTCAATTTAAAGGTAATAAAGTGCTGAACATGGTGCTACCTGGTTACCAGCTCCTTGTTGAAGGACTTGAGCTGCTTCAAAGTGTTTATCCAGAAACCATGTTTTAACTTGACTTCTGTGCGGGTTTGTTGATACTCTTGGCATTCAATAAATATATTAACTAGTGCATTTGGTACAGCGCCTTTCACGTCAAGACTATGTCCCGAAGCACTTGGCAGGATATATTGTAAAGTGGAGTGACTGTGTGCTTTGGGGGCAAAACACAGCAGCCAATTTGTGCAAAATTGGCCTGATGTATTTTGCCCCCAAGGAGGATTAACCAGTTCTATTTGAGGTTTTGTTGGCCAGGACATGTAAGTATTTTCTCTCCTACAGAGCTTTTTCCTCTCAGCCTCTCAGCCCCTAGGCTCTGGAACTCCATCCCCCAGTGCCTTCGCCGCTTCCTCCCTTTCCTCCTTCAAGACCGGTCTCAAGACCTTTCTCTTTGACCGAGCCTTCAGCTCTCCTCTCGACTCTCTACCCCCTCCTCGCTCCCTCCCTCCCTTCCCTCCCCTCACCCTGACCATTTCCCCCCTGCTCGGGTCCTGACCCAACTGTCCAGCGCCTTGGGACGTCCTCCCGATGTGAAAGGCGCTCTATAAATGGAATCTTGTTGTTGTTGTTTCCCTTGTAGATGTTGGCCATTTTTTTAACAATTTTTTGCCTCCTTGCGTTATTTGATCCCAAAGAACCTTAATAATTCCTGCTAATCCTAGATTTTGTTTCAATAATTCTTGAAAAGGGCATTGCCTCTACATTGAACTGCAATGGCTGTGATTGCTGTTTACTTGAAGCTTAATTGCAGCATCATTTATTTTTCACAGAATGTAGGGTTTCTGTGAAAAACACAACTCAATATCATATTTGAAATCCAATCTGTTTTCTACCAGATTTGTGAGTACAGGAGGGAATTTGATATCTGGCAACATTAATGTTTTTGTACTGCAGGATCTCTGCTCTATTACCCCCAGTTCTTGCCTCTGTGATTACAGGGAACCAAGGGTGAAGTGTGGAGATCAGGGCCATTCTTACACAAATTGTACAGTGCCAAGTGTTATATGTCTGCAGGGGAGCAATATCTTAAAAACATGTTTGGAATGTGGTGTTTGCATTTGATTTTTTGTTGTTATTTGATTGATTGAAAAGATAATTTCAGATATTCTGTTCTGACCCACTGTAACATTTATAATGTTGACCCATCCTTCATAAGTGAAATTCACCACATACGTAGTAACAACACTCGTCAATACTGAGCTAGTTTGAGCCATTTGGTTGAAATTTATCCAACTTCAACTTGTATGTACACCTAAGCATGAATGTTAAATTGTTATCTTTATCCCCCTTCCTCTCAGAGGAAACTAACTCTTGCGATTGGTTTCCTGTCTCTTCTCCAGTTCCTTGCCCAAGTAGCTGTTTGTAGTGTGAGCCTGGGCAGGGAGTGCAGGCAAGTTATGTGACAGAGTCGTTACACCCAAAACCAATCCTGTCCTACAATGTGCACTTTCCTGTGAGGGTCACCAGACAGCAAACAGGACCAGGAAACTTGCTGATTTCTATAGCACAAAGATTCTGAAAACTTGAGTGCAACCTGGTGCCAATCTGACTGAGATTAGCTAAATCTTTAAAGACCAATTATAAAACCCAAGGCATTCTTGGTCTGTATTGCTCAGTGCCACATGAAAGCGTGGGGAGGCGGAAAGAGAAAGGAAGGGGTCATCCATTGCTCCTCAAGCTCTTCCATACAATCTCTTTCAAGCAGGAGGACAAGGTCTTAGTGTTACCTAATGAGTGCTGGGGGTCAAATAAACTGCAAGGTTCCTCTCCCGTTTGCTATCTATTTCACCCCGATGGAAATGGATTTTGTAGAACAGAATTGGACTTGGCTGCGATGGTTCCCACAGTCACATAGCCTGCCAACATTCTCTGCCTTGGTACATGAATGAAGCAGAGTTACTTGTACAAGGTACCAACAATCCCCATTCAATCATATCCCAGTAGAATGATTTGATGGTAAGAAAGTTTTTTTTGCTCTAAGTTGGCACATTTTTTGGCCCATATCCTCAGGTTGAGATCTTCATTATCCCAAGACATTCAAACTACACGCCCAGCCAAGAACCTCAAGGCACTTTAGTGCTGAAAACCATGAGCTTTAACGAGGATTGTGAAATGCACATTATCCATTGTACTGCTAGACCACAATTTATTTTAATAAATTCCTTCTCAAAGACAAAGGATACTTGAACTTCAAAATGGCTGTGTTTAGAATTAACTGTTTTATAATGTGGAAATGTTCCTCAAATTTATTTTGAATGGAGCTTGATTGTAAAGTGAATGTAAAAGAATTTACACAAACAACTTTTTCTTTCTTGGCAGTGGAAGTAAAGTTCAATCAAGTTTAAAAGAAATACAATGTTTAACATATGAGCCATAGTGACAGCCAAAGAAATCTGAACTTGTATTCCAAAAGCAATTGGTCATAAACTGTCTTTTGTAAGTCGGTAATTGGCCTTTCAATGCAAATTGAAAAGGCCAATGTGCTTGATGGAGGGTGTCGGGAAACAAGACATTTAAACTTCATTCACAGGTTGAGGGAGGATAGCTTAAACCATTCAGTGAACACAAGGCAACCATCAGGGGATTAGTTTGTGGCTCGGATGTGGAGAGACTGTTCAGTGGCTAGGAATATGGAAAGCAAGTGGGAAAAAACTTCACTGATTTATAAAAGCCAATAATGTACTAGTGCACTACTTAATCAGTCCATTCTCATAATAATCCCTCCAAAACAATAATAAATTGGTCATTTTCAATCCATGACTGTTTGTGGGACACTGCTGTGCGCAATTGGCTGCCGCATTTCGCCCACAAATATAAGGTCAATTCACTTTACAGTATATGCTGTCAGCGCTTTGAGACGTCTAGACGATGTGAAAAGCGCTATATCAAATGCAAGGATTATTATTATTATTGAATCCACTGCCAATATGCATTAACCAATCTCTCTTTGTTATTCTCAATGACCAAACACCTAATTGATGTATGATCTGCTGGCTGGTAACTGAACCCTTTTTATAAATTATTTTTACAGGTGGCGATTACTTGGCAGTGGGATCCCATGATAATTTTGTTTACATCTACACAGTATCCGAAAATGGCAGAAAATACAGTAGACAAGGAAAATGTACTGTAAGTTGCCAGTAAAAAGGAATGAACTGCTACTAATCTGATTGATTTCATCTGAACCACACTAATGAGAAAAGTATGGGCATTGTAAGTGTGTGTATGTGGGTGAAGGTGAAGATATCTGCTAACTATTAGAACCTGCAAGTTAAAAAATAATCCTCAACTGCAAGTAATAGTTTACAGGGTTCTCATTCATAATATCCAAGTCATTTTCTATTCCTCTATTTCATCTATATTCCATCTATTTTTCTTTTTTTAAATAAAAATGGTTATTTCTGATCAGTATTGCTAACGTAGGAGTGAATATAATACTTTGGTTGAAAAGGATCGGTATTTAGTCAATACATATAGTGTTTAGTTTGCACTTTGAGTCAGGAAGTGGAGACGCTTTCAATCAGGTGCTTGTCCAGCTGCTTGCAGGGATTTTTTTAGCTGTGTCTGGATCACAATGTGAGTAGATTCCAGCACGGACTGTGTAGTGCAGCAATGGAATGATGTTAGATTGAAATGTATTTAGCAGAAAGGCAGATGCTGCACTGCTGACAACAGCAAGAGCAGGATTCCCTACATGCCTGTAAAATCGACCCAACATAAAATACATCAGGGGTGGCTTAACTCTGACAAGAAATGCCTGCTGAGAAAGTATGCTTTTAAACTATGATTGGCAATGCGTGATATATATTATAAGTCACAGTGTGGTAGCTAGATAGGAGTCCTGTAGCTCAGAGGTTAGAGCACTCGCTTTGCAAGCGAGAGACCTGAGTTCAATTCCAGGCAGAGGGCGAAACCTTGGGCAAGTTTCCTTACTCCACACGCCTAATAATAATCCCTCCAAAACAAAACAATAATAAATTGGTCATTTTCAATCCATGACTGCTTGTGGGACATTGCTGTGCGCAATTGGCTGCCGCGTTCGCCCACAAATATACAGTCAATTCACTTTACAGTATATTCTGTGAAGCGCTTTGGGACATCCAGAAGACGTGAAAAGCACTATATCAAATGCAAGGATTATTATTATTATAGATCCCATCTTAGTCCTAGTCCATTATATGGGTATTCTTGTAAACTTTCTGTTGAGATCCAGAATAGCAAATATGAAGAATTTTCAGAAAAATTAACAAAATTAAAAGTGCACTTTTTCAGCACTGATTTCATGCTTTTACAAGCTGATCAACCAATCAAGTCGATGTGTTTTTTACTTGGGACAAATCTTTTCATTTGATATAGCGCCTTATCACATCATCGAGATATCTCAAAGCACTTCACAGGATATACTGTAAAGTGAATTGACTGTGTATTCTGTGGGCAAAATGCGGCAGCCAGTTTACGCATAGCAATGTTCCACAAGCAGCCATAGAGCGGGTGACCAATTTATTTTTTAAATAAAAGGGTTATTTCTGATCAATACTATTCAAGTCAGTGACCATTATATTTTTTTTGGAGAATTTGTTTGCTATGACCGGCAGAAACAACCGTCTCTTTTCAAATGGTGGATCTTTAATGTCCACCTAAAGAGGTAGATGGGACCTCGGTTTAATAACTCATCCGAAGGATGTCACCTCCCGTAATGCAGCACACCCCAGAATTGCATTGGAGTATCAGTAGACTATGTGAGTCCAAGTCCCAATGTGGGGCTTGAACTCACAACCTTCTGACTCAGAGGTGAGAGTGCTACCACTGAGCCAAGCTGACACACTATTCCATTATCCCGGATGTGTGTTGCAGGATTGAACTAAAGAAGGAGGAAAAATAACTGAAAATGAGAGTTGCTTGCACCGTAAATATGCTTAACTTGAATAAACTAAAATTTAATTTCTTCCTTTGCAACTTTTCACTTTTAAGTAGTTTAGAGAGCAACTATTGATTAATTACAAATTGGGCAGATATTGCAGATGAATAATTGAGTCCAAATTAGCTAGAGAAATAACCTAACTCATGGTGCTCAAATGTTTCTCTGAAAGATTCCAGGTTGCTCACAATCAGTGGTTCTAATCCCTGGTGCAGGCCTACTAATGAATCAGGACCACTGATTTGTAAGATGGAGGATATTGGCATTTTAGAATACCAAAACCTTCATTAATTGGACTGTAAAACCTTGAAGCTGTATCCAGCATATGTTTATAGGCGGTAAACACTTTACAAAGGGTGCTTACAGTTCAGAATATTGTTTGCAATTCTGTGTTCTCAGAAATATTTTCTGTCGCTGGTTACAAATAGTGTCTTGTGAATAAAAAATGTGCTTCATGGCAGCTTAGTTGATAGATCTGAGTCTCGTTGACTAGCCCACACCCCACAGATGTCTCCAGACCACTCCAGTAAAAGAAAGGCAATAATATGCAAGGTACTGGTTTGTTGCTCATTATCTTGATACAAAGCTGTGCACCAGAGACATCTGAACTGTGTGTGATATGCAACCAGATTTCTAATCTATGTAAATAGTAAATTAATAACTATAAATAGTATTTGGATTTAAATAAACTTGTTGTAAAGATGGAAAATCTGGAATTTGTCCACCTCTATCCAGAAGCTTAGCTTTGAACTGAAGGAATTTTATAAAGCTGCCAAATGTCTGGCAGAATATTAATCAGCAGCTTATGATGGTATGAAAACAATTTAGGTTTTGGAATTCAGTTTCCAGTTTGCAAACAACTGAAGCTAAATATAAATTGATCTACAAAGTCTGACTAGCTGAATTATTTTAACGTTATCAATTATTTTGGGGGAATATGGTACATGGCATTTTTGTAATACATTTTATCTTTCTCGGAATATAATTCACACTTTTATTCAATAGATGTAGTTCTCCCGAGTTGAATCAGATTTGTTAAGTACAGCCAAAAAGTTTGGATTACTTAGTGAGAAAATGATAGTCTATGCCTTTGTCAACTGGACGGGCTAGGCAGCGCGCAACGGTTGATTCACTTTGGCTATCTTGTGCAATAAATTTGTCTGAAACTGTAATAGAATATAGAAACAGAATCCTAGAATGAGAATGAGCACAAAAGGAGCTATTTGTCACATCACATCTGTGTTGCTGCTAATGGAGTTAATACTCTAATCTCATTCCTCTTTCCCTGTACCGTTTCTCAAAAGAACAATAAACCTATTACAGTTGTCTATAAAAAGAAGAAAGCAAAGCTATCTAAAAATTCTTTCATAACTAATTTTTCACTCGTCATTTAAATGCAAATATCCCATAGTTTCTGATTTATTTTTAAATTGTGTGTGTAAACAGCTTTTTTTAAACAAAATATAGTTCGTGTTTTTAGGAGAGGAGTTTTGTCTAATTCCATGAAAGGGGAAAAAAAATTGGAAACATTTATTGTTGCTGTTTTTAATCTGATACAATCGCTTTACAAGACAAGCTCTTTAAAACCCCTCGAATGGCGGAGTTAGTTCACTCAGGACAATGCCAAATGCAAACATGGTTGAAATGCGGCTGATATTCACAGTCCAGGCTCACCTATGAATAATAATCACTTGAAATATAGCAGGCGTCTGTGCAACCACACTCTGGCAGAAGGAAACCAACTCAATACCTTTAAGGCAGGGGAGAAAAATGACAAAAGAAAAACCCTTTATGACATATAACTAATATATGGGTGTATGCTTGGGAGCTGCGGGGCCTTGTGGAGGTGGGTTTAACTTGCAGTCCCTTTGGAGCAGTAGTTTCCTCTATCCCCTTGGGAAATAGGGCTGCTGCTACCTTTGCAGGATTACATTTCATATTAAAAAAAGTATTTTATCCAGCCTGTGTTTTGAAACTTGCATTTAATGGTACCTTTTATTTTTTAAAAAAATGTGTTCTTGGTATACAATTTCTTGAGGGTTTTATTTATTTTTCCTCCCCTCTTTAGGGACATTCCAGCTATATTACACACCTTGACTGGTCACCAGACACCAAGTACATAATGTCTAACTCAGGAGACTATGAAATCCTATATTGTAAGTATTCTGACACTCCCTCCCTACAAAGTGCAATGAATTATGTTCTGAATTAATTGACAGATTTCGGGAAATCACAAGTTGTGCAATCTGCAGCTGATTGAACTGTAGCTTTCATTTGCCTTCTTGTGGACCTGCAGTTAGGGTTTTAAATGATTAGACTCAAACAAGTGGTCCTCAATTCCTCAGAAATTACTACTGGACTAGGCTGGAGCCAAACTATACAAGTTTGCCACAGCCTCATGGTGTAAGCGTGCTTTACAATGCAATCAATGCATGTACAGTGTTGCTTAAACTTGTTGACAATACCATAATGGCTAACATAATTCAACGCCTCCCACGTCAGCCTGTGGATATCCTGTGGTCTCAAAGCTTGTATTGTGATACATTTATGTAACAGTTAAAGAAACCCTTTTCTAATATTTCACCAATATTGCAGCTCTCATGCATCTCAGTTAGAGACCAATGATACCCGGGACTAATCATAGTTTGGGGGATGAGCAAAGAGGAACAAGTGACTAGGGTTCTTTAGCTTTGAAAACAGACATCTCAAAGTGGACTTCACAGAGATATATAATATGCTAATTGGAATAAAGAAAATGTGGAACTCTAATTTGCTACACTAAAGCAGAAGGACAAGAGGGCACAGATTCAGTTTTTGTGAAGGGCAATTTCAGGGCAGTCACTGGAGATTATTTCTTTAAATAGAGGGTAACTAATAGCTGAAATAGGTTACCATAATGGCTTTATGGAGACCAGGGCCCACTTAAATAATGTGATGCTGTAATGGGGGGTGATGGTGTTCCATCTATTCTAGATGGAAAAGATATGATGAACTGAAGGGTTTACTTCATCAGCACAAGGGACATGCAGGAGGTTGGAGCCAGTCAAGCGGGTGTTGGGTTGGGGAAGTAAGCAGCTCAGAGAGATAGGGAGGTGCCAGGGCATGGGGGGATTTGATTGTGTGAGGATCTTGAAATCTAACCATTCAGCAAAAAGGAGCCAGAGGAACCTGGCTAGAATGGGTGTCATGGAGGTACGGAGTTTATTGCGGTTGAGTATGCGGCTGGCGGAGTTTGGGATCAGCTGGATTTTGTGGATGGTGGAGCTGGGGAGACTAGTGAGGAGGGCATTTGAATTGTCAAGGCTCCCATTGCTTTGTTTACTCTATGTCAGTGATCTCCTGCAGGTTTACTCCCCCACCCACGCATTCCGATCCACCAACTCTGGCTTTCTTCATGCCCCTGAGCTGTCTGTGAGCATGAGCCGTTGAGTTTTCAACCACTTTGTCTGCTCCCTCTGGAACTCTCTTCCCAAATTCCCATGCCTCAGACACTCCCTCTTAGGTTTCAAACCCAACTAAAACCCCATCTCTTTTACTGTGTCATCAGCCACCTCTCCCTGTCCTTCCTGTCACACTGCCAGCTTGGACTTCCATTCAGTCTTTGTAAAATATTGACATATGAAAGGTGCTGTATAAATGCACATTGTTGCTCATCTCACATCAGCAGCAATGTCCTTCGATCCATTTTATTCCCAGAAAGGAAGGAAGAACTCGCCACAACTGTTCAATCTACCCTGTAGTTTGCCAACAGATGTGTAAATTTTTTTTTTGAAAAATGCCTAGGTTTGCAAGTTTCTTATGTAAAACCACATTTTGTCTAACTAAAATTCATTGTCTTTTCAGGGGATATTCAAAATGGCTGCAAACTGATAAGAAATCGCTCAGAATGCAGGGATATGGAATGGTACACATACACATGTGTTCTCGGCTTTCATGTTTTTGGTAGGTGGCAATTTTTTTTATCACCGTTTAGTGTTCCATTGCATCAGTACGATTTTTGTTAATAAATCACTGAAAAACAATTGCACAATGTACAGAAGTAGATGGTAAATTTGTGAAATGCCAACATGTGTTTTCATGGGTCTGAGGGAGAAGAATTAGCTTGACATACATTGGGGGGATTTGAGTGGGTTTGTACTTGTGACTGTCCACAAGGCACATTTTTCTTTTTAAGTCCAAAACTGAGCCATTATGAGGCAATGCTGAATGGAGCTGTGGTCTGGGAGCAGGTACCTTGCCCAGTTTGGTATTCAGCAGCACTGGAGGGAAAGGAAAGAAAAGAAAAATAGCAAACTATTTGTCAAAATATGTGCAGAAATAGGCATCAATTACAGATAAATAATAATAATAATCCTTGCATTTGATCTAGCACTTTTCACGTCTTCTCAACATCTCAAAGCACTTCACAGAGTAGACTGTAAAGTGAATTGACCGTATATTTGTGGGTGAAATATATGTATGTGTAAAATATCCATATAAATTTAGCGTTACTCTAATAATAAATATGCAAATGAGAGCATACAATTACGATCTGTATTTTACCTGCAGGAATGTTATTTATAGATTGAATGCTCTACTTTAGAGGTTGCCAGCATTTGCACTGAGTGATGCAGAATCATACAAAGCAGAAATCAGAGCCAACATTCAACTATTGCCACCTTGTGGCTAGTATAATAGATACAACAATAATTATCTTCTGACATTACTAACTAGAGTCAGAGTATTGCAACTTTGTAACTTAAATTAAATGCATCCAGTAACTGGCTGTACCTAAAATTATTATAGTATGAGAATTTTATATCCATTGAGAATTTTAAATAGTTATTTAAAGACTAGGCAGGACTGTGAAATAGTTTGCAAATACATAAAACACAACTTCAGTATCAAAGGGAAACATTAAATAGTTAATGCAGTGATGAACCAATGATGGTGTGATCAGTAGTATTTGGTGTTAAGTTTCTCGAGACTTGAGATTGAACTCTATGCAACTCTGGAGCCTTGTTGGATCTCTGAATAGGTTCCTGAAAGAATTTTTTTTTTAAATTGCATCATCAAGTGGTTGAGAACTAGTCTGTATATGAGCTAATAACATGCCAAAGAGTAATGGATAGCTCCATACAATTTACTGAATAATTGAAGTGTGGAATAGTTTTGCTCGTGTTATTAATCATAAAATATTTCAGGAATTAATATGTGGGGAATGAAGAGGTTAGGTTAATCTCTTTGATTGCTTGCTCAAGCTCCATTTGGTGACGCTAAGCCGCTAAATTCTGTTTGATCCTGTGCTGAACTTCATCCCACACAAAATCAGCCTAGTTGTGTTCCACCCTTGGAACTTTGCCCACTTGATATCTTACCTCAGCACCACTCTGCTAAACCTCTTAACATGCCTCTCTTGCCTTTAGGCTAGGGTTTTCTAATGCTCTTCTTACTAAACCCAGAACTTTGTGGGAAGTGTTATTTCTACAAAGATCTGCATTCCCTTTACCCTGGCTGTGCTAGGCTGTACAGTCACACTTGTTTTTCAGAATTGCTGCCTTATTTCTCAACCTGTCAGTGTATCCTTGGCACCTTTCAGTTTGGGAGGACGTTCCAAGTTTCTGAACAATCAGGGAATTGACCCTGAGCGGGGTGGGTGGGGGGTGTTGAGATTAGGAGGGGTGGAGGGAAGGTGACCGAATGCGCAGTTGAAGAGGAGGAGCAGTGTTTTTTTTGGTTTGCACAATCTACCTTGGCATTTATTAAAAAGGTTTTATTACACTGAGACAATTTACCAGTGAAATCCATGGAAAGAAAAAAAATCTTGATTGGAAAATTAACAATCTGAGTAACTTCCTGTCCTGCCATAGAGATCTGCTTAATGATGGAAACATTGTTGTATGTTCAGCTTTGTTTTCTGTGGTCTCTGATGGATGCCAACATTTCTACTTTATAATTTTTTTTCTTAATATTATTATGGTTATCTCACTCTGCCAGTATTACTGCTATTAAAACAATTTATCTTGGATCTGTGTATTTGGTGAGGATTACATTTAGCCTTTATGACCAGTTTTGTTTTAAGTCATTAACTTTTTTGATGTGGTTTCCATCCATGTATCGATCCCCAAATCTTGGGTAAACAATGGGGAGCGTGTACTTTATCATTCATAAATATTTACAGAACAGATCACTTCCACAAGGAACACAGAGTCATACAATACACTGAAGGAACATCCTCAGATCATTCTACTGTAACACCGAACACTGGGAACACATGAGAAGATCATTTGTCCCATTGAGCCTTTTCTGCGATTTTCTTAAATCATGTTGATCTGTAACCAAAATACCCATTTAGCTGCCTTTTTTCATACCCTCAAATGTCCTTATATAATAATAATCTTTGCACGTCTTCGAGAGTCTCAAAGAGCTTCACAGAATATACTGTAAAGTGAATTGACTGTATGTTTTGTGGGCGAAATGTGGCAGCCAATTGCACACAGCAGTGTCCCACATATGGATTGAGTGACCAAATTATTATTGTTTTTTTCTTGAGGGATTATTATCAGGAATGTGGAATAAGGAAACTTGCCCAAGGTTTAGCATAACATAACATGTAGGAGCAGAAGTAGGCCATTTGCCCTTCGAGCCTGCCCCGCCATTCAATCATGGCTAATCTTCTAATCTAACTCCAGCTAATAACCTGACCCTGTCGTAACCCCATATCCCTTAATCCCTTTTGCAATAAGAAATCTATCTCAGTCTTGAATATGTTCAAGGACTGAGCGTCAACAGCCCCTTGGGGTAGTGAGTTCCATACATTCACCACCCTTTGAGTGAAGAAGTTCTTCCTCAACTCAGTGCGGAAGAGTTGGCCTCTGATTTTAAGGTTGTTGACCCTGGTTTTAGTTTCTCCAACCAGGGGAAACAATCTCCCACTATCTACTCTATCATGCCCTTTGATGATCTTATAGGTTTCTATAAGATCCCCTCTAATTCTTCTATATTCTAGAGAATATAGGCCCAACTTGGTCAGCCTATCCTCATAACTCATCCCCTTCATCCCTGGTACTAACCCAGTAAATCTACGCTGCACCCCCTCCAAGGCAAGTATATCCTTCCTTAAATAAGGAGACCAAAACTGCACACAGTATTCCAGGTGTGGTCTCACCAGGGCCCTATACAGCTGCAGCAAGACTTCGCTACTCTTATACTCCAATCCTTTCATAATGAATGCTAACATACCGTTCGCCTTCCTAATTGTTTGCTGCACCTGCAGACTAACTTTCTGTGATTGGTGTACAAGGACACCCAAGTCCCTCTGGACGCTAACACATTCCAATCTCTCCCCTTCTAAAAAATAACCCGCTCTACTGTTTTTGCTACCTAGGTGGATGACTTCGCATTTCCCTACATTATACTTCATCTGCCACCTACCTGTCCAATCACCTAACCTATCCATTTCTCACTGTATTTTTTTGTGTCATCCGCGAATTTATATATATTAACTTCGATGTCCTCATCTGGATCGTTGATGTAGATGGTAAATAGCTGAGGCCCAAGGACTGATCCTTGTGGTACTCCACTAGTCACATTCCGCCAATCCGAAAAGGACCCGTTTATCCCTACTCTTTGTTTCCTACCCGTTAACCATTCCCCAATCCACGTTAATATGCTCCCCCCAATTCCATGGGCCCTTATCTTTTGGACTAACCTTTTATGCAGCACCTTATCGAATGCCTTCTGGAAGTCCAAATAGACCACATCCACTGATTCACCCTTATCTAGTTTACTGGAAATATCCTCAAAAAACTCTATGAGATTTGTCAAACATGACTTCCCTTTTGTAAAGCCATGTTGACTTGTCCTAATTATATTGTGCTCCCCTAAATACCGCACTACCACATCCTTAATCAACAATTCTAAATTTTTTCCTATCACTGATGTGAGACTAACTGGCCTATAATTCCCCATCTTTTCCACCTTTTTTAAATAGTGGTGTGACATTTGCGATCTTCCAATCCATGGGGACTGTTCCAGAATCCAAGGAATTTTGGAAGATCAGACATAAGGCCTCCACTATCTCATAAGCTACCTCTTTTAAAACCCTGGGATGCAAGCCATCCGGACCAGGGGATTTGTCACTTTTTAGTGCTAACAGTTTCCCTAGCACCAATTCTCTACTAATGAAAATTTCCCTAAGTTGCTCCCTGTCCTTATCCCTTTGGTGCATCTCTATTGTTGACAGACTTGTTGTGTCTTCTAGGGTGAAGACAGATGCAAAGTACCCATTTAGGGACTCTGCCATGTCCTTATCCCCCATTACAACTTCTCCCGTCTCTGACTGAAGTGGACCTACATTTACCCTCACTAGCCTATTCCTCTTAATATATTTTTAAAAACTTTTACAATCAGACTTAATGTTCCTAGCTAGCTTACCCTCATACTCCTTTTTCTCGCTCTTAATGAGTTTTTTAGTTTTATTTTGCTGGTTTCTAAAACTCTCCCAATCTTCAGATTTGCTGCTTTTCTTGGCAGTTTTATAAGCCTTTTCTTTTAATTTGATGCTTTCCCCAACTGCTCTAGTTAGCCACGGATGAATTGCTTTCCCTGTCGTACTCTTATTCCGCAAGGGAATATGCGACCGCTGAGAATTTTGCACTACATCCTTAAATATTTGCCACTGTTGGTCTCCATTTTTACCTCTTAATCTTATTCTCCAGTCTATTTTACCTAAATCTTTCCTCATGCCTACAAAATTAGCCTTATTTAAATTCAGAATATTTGCCTCGGATTTAACTATATCCCTCTCTAACTTAATGCAGAATTCAATCATATTGTGATCACTCTGCCCTGGAGGATTCTTAATACCTATGCTGCCAACTAGCCCTGTTTTGTAGCTCAGTGGTTAGAGCACTCGCTTTGCAAGTGAGAGACCTGAGTTCAATTCCAGGCAGGGCGAAACCTTGGGCAAGTTTCCTTACTCCACACACCTAATAATAATCCCTCCAAAAGAAAACGATAATAAAATTGGTCATTTCAATCCACCACTGTTTGTGGGACATTGCTGTGCGCAATTGGCTGCCGCGTTCGCCCACAAATATACAGTCAATTCACTTTACAGTATATTCTGTGAAGCGCTTTGGGACGTCTAGAAAACATGAAAAGCGCTATATCAAATGCAAGGATTAGTATTTTTATAAAACAAGGTCTGTCCCCTAGTTGGTTCCTCGGCGTGCTGCTCTAGAAAATTATCTCTCATACACTCAATGAACTCTTCTTCTGACCTACTTTTGCCGATTTGGTTTTCCCAATCTATGTGGAGATTGAAATCGCCCACTATTATCGCTTTACCTTTCCTACATGCTCCACTGATTTCTTGATTGATACCCTGTGCTATATTATGATCGCTGTTTGGGGGTCTATAAACCACTCCCATTAATATTTTCTGCCCTTTATTATTTTTTATTTCCCACCCATATTGTCTCGATCTCTTGATCATCGGATTTCAGATCCTTCCTCTCCACTGCTTTTATTTTATCCCTAATTAACAGGGCTACCCCCCCACCTATTTTCCCACAGTGCCTATCTTTCCTGTAAACTGAGAACCCTGGAATATTTAAGTCCCACCCTAGATCTCCTTGTAACCATATTTCAGTGATGGCTACTAGATCGTACCCATATGTGTCGATCTGTGTTTATCTATCTATCAAACTTGTTTCGCCCTGCAGGGAATTGAACCCAGGTCTCTCGCTTGCAAGGCGAGTGCTCTAACCACTGAGCTACAGGAATCCACAAACCAAACTAAGTCCTTAATAACCAAGTCCAGTATTTATCTGCTTCCCTCTTAAACATTCCCACTAACTCTGCATCAACAGTCCTTTGAGGAAGTGAATTCTACAATAGCGTAACTTGAGTAAACAAAAGCTTCTGATTTCATTAATAACGGGTCTAGCTATAATTTTAGATTCTGACGTCGTGTACAGGATTCTGCAACAATAGGAAGGAATCTCTTATCCACTCTGTCAATTTATTTATTACTACTTAAACTTCTCGATCAATTCACACCTCAGCCTCCTTTGGTCAAGGCAGTACAGCCCTCTGTTTACTCATTCTGTCCTCATAACAAAACCCCTTCAATTCTATTAAATCTACATTTCATGGTCTCCACAGCCATTCTCAAACCTGCCACAATGAAGTTTGACCAGAATTACCTGAACATTTAGTAATACTGTACAAAGAAATCTGATGAGGGCAAATGCAGAATATTTATGATAATAATAATTGTTTGATATAGCACCTTATCACATCTTTGAGACGTCTCAAAGCGCTTCACAGAATATACTGTAAAGGGCATTGACTATATTTTGGAGCCAAAATGATTATAGTATTTGTTTACTTGTTGGTTAATGCCCTAAATACATGTGAGTATAATTTTTCTCTTAAATACAGTATGTATTTTTAAGAGCATAAGAAATAGGATCATGAGTAGGCCATTCAGCCCCTCGGGCCTTCCCCGCCATTTAATAAGATCATGGCTGATCTTCTAACCTAATTCCATTTACCTACCCTATCTCCATATCCCTTAATTCCTTTAGTTTTTAAAAGTCTATTGATCTCACATCTAAAGATCTATCGATTTTTTAACGCGTAGTCCACCAGCATAGTGTGGAGTATATTGTGACAGGCCTATGCATGGGGACAATGATGAGGGCTTGGGAGGGCAGTAGAAAGATCAGAGAGGGCCTAAATCTGGTATTATTTGAACTTCTCAATTACAGAATATCTGCTATTCTCTCAACATGTAGCTCAACATGTAATTAGAGTAAAAGAAAAGTAGAATGAAACGCAATGCAATTCATTTAAACTGTATTGAATATTTGTGATGAACTAACATGCTTAACCCAATTCGGAGGCATATGGTTTTACACTGTTTAACATGACCAACAATGTTTTGTAAGCTTAAAAAAAATTCCATTAAAATTCCTCTAAAATTATTCTAATACTTTTCTTAATTTCAACTGCACAAAAAATTGTGTTTAGCTTAGTTTTGGAAGGTAACATTGCTTAAACATTTTTTAAAACTTGCATTTCTTTTGGAAAAGATATTCAAAAGACTTATGTTCTGAATGAGTTAAATATAAGCGTATTTGTACTGGTAGTATTGGAAAATAGTTGAAATGCGTTTAAATTAGAAAAATAGTTGTACATGGAGATGTCAAGTTATGGGAAGGTACAATTTTATTTAAATAATGACTTGAAGTATCATTCCTGTGAAAGGAAAATGTGATGCTTTAAGTAGATTTTTTTTGGAAGAGACTATGACTCTTCTTAGTGTGTCAGAAAACATAACTTATCAGGTTCACTTTCTGTCAGTCTGATTTTCTATGTGGTAAGGAGCAGCAATTTGTCTGTGAGAAATGGAAGTGCTGCGTATGATGCATGTGTTTCTCATTTTGTTGCAGGAGTGTGGCCCGAAGGCTCAGATGGAACAGATATTAATGCACTTTGCAGATCCTACAGCAAGAAAGTAGTGGCTGTTGCTGATGATTTCTGCAAAGTCCATCTCTTCCAGTATCCCATCTCTAAGCCTAAGGTGAATAAGAATTGTCCTTTATAAATATTTTACTGAACTGAATAATGGAAATATTGAGGCAAAATCATGCTGAACCCAGTAAACAGATTGAATATTTCTGGTCTATACATGGGAAAACAACATGTGGGTGTACAAACCTACCTCTCTGACCAACCTGCAATTACCTCCCTTCTCTATACCCCACTACCCTCACCCCCCCACCCCCACAGTTTAGTATCTGGCACTGTCTTTATAAACCCCTGAGAGTCATGAAGGCTGCCATATAATCATAAGTTATTGTCCATGCATAGGAACACTCTTGTGCTTGTGCACAGTTCAGTTCACCTTGACCCCAACTTTTAAAGAGCAAGTACTTTCCTGATTTTTGTAAAAGTTTTATTGTAAAAATAGATTTCACATGATTGGACCAGTAATATAGAACAGACATGACTTTACAATATTTACTTCAATCTCAGTTGGGTTGTTTTGTAATAAAGTAAGCTTTATTTTAGACATCTGTAAAATTAAATCTACTGCATCAGAGTGCTTTTAGGTTGAACAATGCTCTTGAGATCCAAGAGTGAAACCAGGCTTGACAAATGGGCTGACTTATTTTTTTCTCTCGACTATTTGAGTTCTGTTTGAGATCAATTGCAGTTTAGTTCCCAGTGGATAAAATAAGCCATTGGGATTGAACATGAAATATGAGTGAGGACACTGAGATTAGATGAACACATTTTCCCACTTGATTGGGATACAGAGTCTGGGGGAGGGGGGAAAGGCACAGATTCCCTGCAATGTTGTCCTTTACCTTCATGAACATAAAATCATTGTAAGTTTGCTTTGTTGCAATTGTAATATTCAAAAGTAGTTGATTTTGAACATTGTAATCTGCCAAGACCCTCCTCCTCTACAGTAATCTTAACACCCTCCTCTTCAACCACGCATTTGGTCACCTTCCCTCCACCCCTCCTAATCTCAACCCCCCTGCTCAGGTCCAAATCCTTGACTGTTCAGCGCTTTGGGACATCCTCCTGAACTGAAAGGCACTTTACAAATGTAATTTGTTGTTGATGTTGTTGCCAGATGAGTAATATTTGGTTTTTGCCTTGGTGTAATAAGTTAAAAATAGATTTATTTGATTCTGATGATGCCTCAATTATTTTCAAACTGAAGTTCGTATCTGGTAATTTGAATAAGCTCATTCGATTATAATTTGCAAATTTCTAAGAAAATTGGGCAAGCAAACATGGGAAAAATTGATCTTCCTTGCTTGCCCTGGATGTCATGTACATTTCACAGCAGCTGATGGGCCTAAATAATATTAAAGTGCTGAGATAATCTGGTTTTGTACATAATGTCAGTTTTGGTTGATGTAGTAACCTCTCACTGTCAGTTATGCAGACAGGCAAAGCCATAGTTGTCTTTCTTTGTAGACCAAAACATTATTCAGTGAATAAGATGTTCAGAGCTTTGCTTTATTGTTGGTCTTTCTGTGATAAAATATTTGTTAAATATAAGCATCAATTGACCTCACTGAATAATAGCACTAAAGAGCACACAAAAACATCTTTAAATCCAGGTCAGTTACACAGTCCATTTTATTAGTCTACGATAAAATGGATTTCAATTACTTTCATGGAACAATTTGTTCTCACATCATGGAAAGAATGGGTAATCCTGGTAAGATCCAACCTATTACAGTCACTACACTTTTCATTATATTCTGTGAAGTGCTTTGAGATGTCTCGAAGACGTGATAAGGCATGATATCAAATGCAAGCATTGTGATGATTATTATTATTGTTTGTTCTTTCTCGCGCTGTGTTCTTCAATCATCATAGTTATCAGAAAACATGCTTTACCCCTGATTATCATTACTGGTGAAGTGTCGTCACCTTTGTACAGACCATGTGATTGTCCAATTATTTTAATGTGCACAATGTCAGTTGGTTCATTTTATCTCCATTCTTCTCTCCGTTAATTTTTAATTCTTTACCGGCCCCTCTGTCTGAAGTTCTCCTCAGAATTTAATGTGCTTTTCATACACTAAGCGTTATTGGTAACTGCTATCATATACTCCACCATCAAGAATTATTGGATTGGTGAAAATCTTAATACAGAAATTACCATAAACTGCTAACTATAGATTTCCTGATCAATTAGATATCGACATATGAGTGTGCCAGGTATCATAGCCATCTGCTCATTTGCACAAGACTCTTGCACTTATTTTCCTTCATGAGAAAAATATTTTAGTGCTAAACACTGGATAAGCTGGGAATCATTACAATCTAATTTTTTTATGCTTGACTGTTTCAATGTAATTTTACATTGAACATTGACTGATTACTGTGGGCACTTAACTTAGTAGAAATTATTCTTTATAGAAAGTCTTGCAATGTTTCAGTGCTTACTTTGTCTGTGTTTAGCATGTTATCTCACATTTTATGACTCTTTGTCATTCATTTGTTATTAACGTTGTTAGTCATTTCCCTTCTAAACTTTGATGTTCCTTTTACCTGCTCAAATCACGGATTATAATTATGGAGAAATTTCTCTTTAATAAATTATCACCGGAAGAATTGTTTTTTTTTACAGCTGCATTCAAGAAAACCAAAATGGGTGAACAAAAGGTATCTATAGCTAGATAAATGTTCTCATTGTCCTTGTTTTCAGATATTTGAACAAGGATCTGTATCTGAATTATAGCAGGTGACAATCCACTTGTCAATAAGCATAGAAACTTGGACAATGAGCACTTATAGGGGAGGATAGTCAAAGTTATTCCACTTAGGGACGAGAGGAATATCATCCTGTAGAATTGTAAATCTCACTTACTGAATATTTGTCTTGTGATGTGTTTCCAGGCTCCAAGCCACGTTTACAGTGCACACAGTAGTCATGTGACCAACGTCAGCTTTACACACAGTGATGGTCACTTGATTTCAACAGGAGGAAAGGATACCAGCATCATACAATGGAGAGTGGCAGAGAAAGCCCCACTCCCATTAAACGACAGCAGCCTCGAGCAGAATGCTCCTCTTTCTCCTTCGGCAGGTCCAACAGAAAACTCACCAGTGTCTTAAAGCTTCACAATTTGGAAGGTTCTTGGTTTAGCCAATGAGGGAAATGGTGACTGGGCAAAATGAATAGAGCTGCTGGATTCATGTTTTATTCTGGTTTAATCTTCCACTGAAAAGATGGAAGGATTCCCAAGGGCTTCACTTACAACCAATGTCAAGTGACTTTAATGACTGGCCAAAGTTCTTCTTGGGAAGAAATTGCAACAGTTAAGGTAGATATTAGGAAAGCAATTAATTAAAATCAGAGGTTACAGACTGTAAATACTGGAAAAAAAAACTTCTGTGGTTGGGATATGCTGAAATGAGTCTGCTTTGTATTATAAAGTTTTTTTTCTTTCAGTTAGAACTGATATGGTTGTATAACAAACAACACTAACTGTTAACTTGTTCAAACAAAATCAACTGTGCCATATTACCAGGCCAGTGCATTGCCAAGAATTGTGAATGAGATTGGCTTAAGTAGAGCCTTCCAGTAAGCTATGCCTACCATGAGCATGGCACTGCCTTCTTGAATATTAAATATGCAATGTCTTCACATTACTAATGTCTGTGAATCGGACATTTTTGCAATTCTCTTCCATAATCTATTTAAAGTAGACTTGCGTTTGTATTTCCGAAGAATTAAAAGTATACCTCTGAAACTGATCTAAAGTCAACAAATACCTTCCAATTGTTCTTGTAATCAATTGAAATTAATTATCAGTAAAAGTTGTTTCATCTAGGAAATAAAATCCGCAATTCAGAGCAAGTCTTGGAATTGGTAAAATACAAAACTGCCTAGTTTTGTTCTCTCCTAGCCATATGAACTCCAAGACAAGTTGATGGTATATTTGTATTTTATGCTGTACTGTCTTGGACTGTACACATCCAAATAGTTGCTATGTGTTTGCAGATTAACTCTGGTCATAATGAGTCATGGAAATAACATGGCACTTAGACTATCAGGATTTCAAAGTATAGATTTGTTTTGTGTTTTATGCATTTTTCCTTGTTTGCTTCTATTTTTTCAGAACTGTGCAGTTCTTTAAATTATGGATTCACTTTGTACTATCTGTACAAGATAATAACACTTACTGACAATATGCAAGGAAGCATGTCAAAATGATCTTATTTATACTTTGATTTGCATAGAGCAAACAATCTTTATTTGATTTGTTGATCCAATGTTTTAGGTTTAAGTAGAAGTTAGGGTTAGCAATTTGTAGATGTTGTCAAGTATGTTTAAGTCTTAAGTGTGAAATCAAGTGTTTACCAGATCGTGCCATTCCAAAGTGGATCAGAACTGTCATTCCCTTTGAATCTGTTCTCAGGATTAATCAATTACCAGGCATCCAGCAACTGCTGATCTAGAGAAAGTGCCTAGATTGGCTCTAAAACCGTAGAACTCCTTTAGTCTCATGTACAATAGGTGCTATCTGGAGATGCTACTGCCATGCCTTACAGCTACCAACTAACAGCCGCCATTGAACCGATGCATCAGTCTGCAATAACTTATGGAATTTAGAGTGGGATTTACGTTGCTGTATGAAAAAAACTCAGTGATTGTAAGGGAAATACAATTGACCAAGGGTTTTCCAATGTGTTGATGTTAGAACTGTTAACGATTTCATGCATTCCTGACAAATGGCATAAGAATTGAAGAAAAAAATAAAAGTGATCAGAGTGAATACTTGCCTCCTCCTGGTGCTTCTCTTGCTGGTCTTATTGTGTTCTTCCTCAATAGCATTAATTCTTAAAATGTGTATTAGAAGGGCCGGTCTGCTTATTTGGAGGAAACAAGATGGTGTAAATGTTAAAAAAAAATTGGTCACTTCAATCCACGACTGTTTGTGGGATACTGCTGTGCGTAATTGGCTGCCGTGCTTCGCCCACAAATATACAGTCAATTCACTTTACAGTATATTCTGTGAAGTGCTTTGAGACGTCTAAAAAAAGACGTGGAAAGCGCTATATCAAAATGCAAGGATTATTATTATGTGGCTTAAACATGCTAGTCCTGAACTTACAATCTCTTGGGGTTGTAATTTCTAACAGTGTTCCTTAAAACTAAATCGTGAAGTTATTCATGGTGATTTTCAGAGTAGGTCCCATAGGTAAGAGTGATGTACTTCCTATGCCTGGAAGGTATCTGCACCTCGATTCCTCATGGAATCCTGTTGGAATTTTTTTTGTCAGCTGGGTGTCTGACACATGCAGAAACCCATCACTGTGCTTAAGAGTATCCAGACCAAACTGAGAAATCCACGTGTTCCAGCTGCACATGGAAATCCCAGAGATAGATTGTTGGAATGGAATGCGCGCTCTCTCCCTGGAGGGATGCATCCTGCTTACCTAATTCCAGAATGTATTAGGTGCAGGTTGGCAAGAGCCAAGGCTTGGGGGACCCCTGATTGTGAGTTGGGGTAACTGCTGGAGTCTAACCAGCCATTGATATCACTGATGGCAAGCTTTCCCACTGCTTGTCTAGTTAGGACTTTGGCTTGCAGGATTAACAGGAACTGAGTGGCTTGCCTCCCTGCCCCCAGTCTGCCCTTCCAGGTACTGCCAATGATCCAGACTGGCTGTGCTGTCATCAGCAGTGCCCTGGAATACTGCAGACCTGCCTGGCTCAGGAACCGGAATACCGAGACCACCACAGAGGGCTGGCTCGATTCCAACTTTCCATTGCCAGCCGTGTCACCTTGGAGCCAGTTCAGCTCCAAGGAGATACTGCTTAATCCTGTAGGAAATGACCACGATAGATGGTTAAATCCTGCTCTGCGTAATGGGATGAAAATCTTGCTTTGATGTGTGCAAGGTTACTAACGATATATTTAGATAAGCCTATAATGTGGCTGTGTGGGCAAGCTCACCTTTGCCACAAGACAAGTGCCAAGGGCAACTGAACAATTCACAATGATGAAACAGCAGATGTTAGAGGTTATTGGAACAGATTTGGAGACAGGTTTAATTTAAAAATCTTAAGTAGCCTGGGAGTTCTTGATCTTGACTTTGGGGCTGGGAATGGGAAAGTTCCATTTTCAAGCGTAAACATCCTTCATCTTTGAACACAAACGTTTCCCAAAATAAACTGACCACTTCAAAGGTAAAAAATGTGAATGCAGAGTTGCTACTTTTTGTAACATGGTTTGTGATGCAAATATGTATCAAAAAATAAATAACCATTTGTAACTATATGGTTCGTCTTGTAGGAAATCTAATGCACAAATAAGAGCATAACTTTAAGGCATGAAGAATTTGTTCATTCAAGATTAAAAACAATTCATAGATCCTTTCACAAATAACCACATAAAGCTAAGAGGCACACTTAAATCTGCCCATCAGGTGGATGTTAGAAATACCAGGGTACTATTCAAAAGGAGAAGGGAGTTTGTCCTGTTGTCCTGGCCAACAGTCCCCCAAGTGGAATTGGTCTCTCACTCCATGGCTGTTTGTGGGACATTGTTGTGTGTAACTGCTGCTGCATGTTGTCCACAAAATACACAGTCCTGCATGTACAGTATATCCTGTGAAGTGCTTTGAGACATCTTAATGATGTGATAAATACAAACATCTTATCACTTGTAATGAAACGTACAAACACTTCCACAAGTCAAATGCAAGAATTATTAATTTCCAGGATTTATCAACCTGCTTACCAACACTAATTTAAAGCATAGGAGTGAAAGCCTCAAAGTGCATTTACTCAAAAATGTGAGCAGTGAACTGAGAGGAAGAATTAATGCCTCTGCCATTTATTATTCAAATGTTCGTTCACTTACTGTGTTCAGTTATTGATGTGCAACAGCCTTTGGGATGAGATTGCAGAAACCAAACCTAGGAATTGATCACATTTTCTGGTAAGACCAGTACTATCTATGAAGGCTTGTGTTTGAAGATTTAGAATATGGTTGGCATCTAAGAAAGAAATGAATGTTTCACTGTTACTGAAATTTACAAGTCTCTAAGCACTAAAGTACAATTTCATTTTGGATTGAAAACTCATCCACCCCCTTTCTCCCAAATACAAACATCTTATCACTTGTAATGAAACGTACAAACACTTCCACAAGTCTACAGCAGCAAGCAGACAACCCTGTATTATGCGTAGTTATGGTCCTAATGTAACTGAGAATGCTGGCCCTTCACCATTAGTACTCGGTACAAATCTTTCTACAATACTGTATTTGTAAAACTACCCAACTGAGTTCTGATTGTTTGGAATCTTTCTAAATAATGAATAATCCTTCCATTTGATACATCACAATATGCTTTGCTTATAATTTCTATCAAGTGTTGTGGCTTTGTATTTGTAGACTGACACTGTGGCCAATTTGCATACAGCAGGTTCCCACAAACAGCTATCAAATGAATGACCATCTTATCTGGAGGGTAGTCAGCCAGATTACCACCAGCAATTCCCTTCTCTTCAGATGATGTCACAGAAACCTTGTCCACCTGAACAAACAAGCAATACCTCTATTAAATCTTATCTCAAGGTCAGCATGTCCAACACTACTGTGTGCTTCCAGAATGATGGAGAATCAATGTTTTACCCTTGCTGCAGAGTCACCTTGCCTGCTCCTTCCCTTCCTTAATGCACAATGTGCAGCACACCTTAATTGTACCATTCAACTTGGGTAAACCACAAAAAAAATTGTAAAAGATTTGAGTTAAACACAAATAGAGTCTCAGAACATTGCTCCATCGACAAAGCCAGGAGTTTTCTGGAAACACACAATGTTAGTCTGAAAAGATTGTACATGTAAACTTTTAACTGGACATTTTCCAACTGAAGAAAGTTGACAAGTATTATCACCTAATACAAAAGGAAGACAAAGTCAAACTTGTAGGTAGAACAATTGGTCTTCATATAACAAAAGCTGTGCTTGTTCTAACTGAATTCAGCATTGTGTTTCAACTTCATTCCTCCACAAGAAAGGGTACAGTTAAAGGATTAAGAGAGGGAACTGGGTGGAGCAGTGGGATAGGAGAATGGGTTAGAATCCAGCTCAGAATGATGGAATAAATATCATATCTCTGATAACTGTAAGGCTCTTACAGGAAATAATACTGCGGTTATGTTAGCAGGAGTGAAAACCCTTTCACTTGTTGCAACAGAGTTACGGGCGGGAAGCCAGGTTCGTACTGGACCAGCGCCTTAGGATGTCTTCCCGACATGAAAGGCACTGAATAAATATAGATTTGTGGGTGTTGGACTGTATTGTCAGATCACAATAGAGGTTTGAATGAAGAAGGCCCTTTGGACCCACCTGATCTCATCTGTCTCAAATAACAACAACAACAACTTGGATTTATATAGCGCCCTCCACGCTTCACAGTAACGGATCCCAGAGCCGAGCTGGGGGAGGGGGGAAGGTGACCAAAGGCGCGGTTGAAGAGAAAGGTCTTCAGCAAGGAGCTAAAAATAGGAAGAGAGGCAGCGAGGCGAAGGGAATGAGGAAGAGGAGTTCCAGAGTCTCGGGGCATATTGGCTGAAGGCATGGCCGCCGAGGGTGGAGCGGAGGACTCGGGGACAAGGAGGAGGTCAGACCCGGAGGAACGAAGTCAGCTGCAAATATGCAGCCGCTGCCGACCCACCATCAGAGTATCAAGCATTTTTTTATATTAAAAAAAGTCCATTGTCCTGGACTGAATTACCTTTGTTGATAACCTGTCCCAGTTGTTAATTAATCTCTGGGTAAATAAATACTTCTTGGTATCAGTCCTTAAATTCAATTAGGTCCAAACTCCCCCGAAGTCCTGCCGAAATTGAACTTTGCTCTGATTATGTTGCACACTCAGATTTGTGCTCGCTGTGGGCAGTCACACAGCAGCAATGTTAGCAGCCTGACTTTGTTAAAATGCAAATTGATTCAAGATCTTAAAATGTAGTTCCTGAGCTAAGACTTTGAACCTGCAATAAAACCTTGAACTCCTTGGTGAAGGTTATTTTGGTTAACAAGCACAGTGTCAAGTCATCTTTTTGTGGGTGGGAGATGATGCAGGGGAGATCTGCTAATAACTGGAAAATGACGCATTGCTCTACAAGTGGTTGATTGTCCCAGGAAGCTCCCCAGGTCAATCCCGAATTTGTGCTGAATTTATTAGTCTCAGCTAAGGGTGTAGCAAAGGGTGTCTTTTCACAAGGCAGATGATAGTGAATGAGGATTGGATTAATCTTGGTGTTGAGTACGTCATTTGGCTTAGCTGGTAGAACTCTCGCCTCTAAGTTCGTGGGTTCAAGTCCCATGTCAGAACTTTGGACTCAGTCTTGGTGGACATTCCTCTGCATTGCCAGAGGCACCGACCTAATGGGACGTTAAACCAAGGTCCCTTCTGCCTGTCCAATTGGACATTAAGGATCCCATTGCACTACTTGAAAAAGAGAAGAAAATTTCTCTCAGTGTCCTGGCCAAACATCTCTCAAGACAAAATTAGTTAGTTCACTTCATAGCTGTTTGGTGGGGCATCGTTATGTGCAAATTGGCTGCCTACAAAATACACAGTCACTACAGTTTAGAATAAATTCTGTGAAGCATTTTGAGATGTCCACCTGACATGAAAGGCACCATTTCAAATGCAAGGATTATTATGATGCTAACAATGATCAAATAGACTGCAGAAAAGACTCTTCCCACTTAGCCTTGACACTTCTCACAAGGCTTGCATTTGCCAAAGAACTGGAGTATGGCCAGCACGTACCTCCAACATGAGCAGTGCCTCAGCAGAGAAAGGGAGAGAATTAATGCCTCGTGACACTGCCAAAGCCTTTTGACGTAATTTATCCTTTTTGCTGATTACTCCAATTTACCATAATTCGTCTGGATCATTAAAGATAATGGGCCAGG